TCAAGGACCAAGGATCAAAACGCAGATGCAGCTCCTAAAGCGGTTGGAGGTGAGTGGATCAGACCAATCACCAAAGCCATCAAAGATTCGCCGCATTTTTGAGGTTGGTGGCGTTCCTACGGATACGGAAAGCTCAGTATCTAGCCGAGTCTCATGCGAACCGTGACATTCCTTTAACCTGAGAAATTCCCGGTTGAAAAGAAAAAAGACCAAGGAACTACAAGTTGCGCTATAATGTCCACTAACACCACCAGTTACTAAACAATCAGCTCATGCGATAACATTGCACGACACTGACCGACGGTACTGACGTTCTATAGCTCTAGCACATCCTGGATGGGCACTCCAACAGCCTTCCAACTTGGACGGTGTTGTGAACCCTCTAAGATTCTCTAAATTGTCAGGATGGTACGACCACACGGCACGAGGACAACTCTTTTCCTTTACACAGTATATTTCACTTCATCGAATAATTAACAATGAACACTAATAACACCAGCTATTTATAGCATGCAAAAACAGCGTACATGCAAACCATACGCATATAAAACGGGACATAACAGCGTATACGAATACAATGCCATAAGCGCGAAGGCCTTTCCCAATTGAGAACTGGTGGTTTGCAACAGACGGTTCTAAGTTATATGATAACATAGGAGGGGAAGGTGGTGGTGTTAGTGGACATTAGATCAGAGCGTAACTTGTAGTTCCTTGATCCTTTTTCTTTTCTATAAAATTTAATTTGTCCTTGGCTCTCCATCCGAGTCAATTCCCGGTTGGTTTTTCTTTTTCAAAGGCAGCTTAAATAAGCACAGACGCAATCACCAGAGTGCGGATAATTGGCATCGCTAATTGTCTTTCGCTTTTTAACAAGAAACTCTGGATAAACTTTCCTATTGTCCGTACAATCCAATCCAGCCACTTGTACATGTATAACTCATCATTTCGCCAACAACACTTCCGTTAATCGTTTTTCTTTGTAATTTTCCATTCATTTTCTGCTTTAATTCATATTTGCTTTGTTTTCCTAGCTTACTATTGCCGTGGCTGGCTCAACGCCCTTGTCTCAGGGGATACTGTCCCTGCATTAGCTATGCTATGAGATTGTGTCTAATAATAATAATAATAATAATAATAATAATAACAAAACGGTATATTCACTACGAATCACGTTATATCCGATGGAATGTTCGGGCCTGTTCTATCAGATCATCAGGGCAAAATATGAATTAAATATCTCTGGATGATAGAGAACTAATGTGTTGTGTTATCGTAAACTCAATGATTGTAATGATATAGACTAGATACGGGTTTGGATATGCAATACCGGTAGATTATGACGAGGACCTGGTGTAAGAAGCTCTGCCCTTGTGCCATCCAAGCACTTTCCCCACCTTATGCATCCTTGGTGATAATACGCAGAAGGCGATTTTCAGTTAATCAACAGCAGATTTGTCTTGCATGACACATCATCAATACAGGGTATTCGTTCGTTCCAAGGATCACAGAAGAACCTTGACTACAGATCACAGTGCTTAAACACGACGTGCAGAGCTTAGTACAAAACGAAAATCCGGTGGAACAAAAAGTGACTAAAATTAGCGTCTCTACTCACGAGTTTCACGCTGGAGATCAATCATCAGAAGCCTGGGTCTATACTCGGGGTTGTGTGGTCTTATTCACTATAGGTGTTGTTCCGAGACTCAGAACTGGACATTGTGCACACTTTGAAGGTACGATGCGCACAGAGAATGACCTGAGACTTGCTGCTTGTTTGATGAACGTTTTCTGCACTCCATCCATCTCTGCCCTCCAGCGGAAGACGCATTAGCAATGATCAGGTCACGGCTGGGCAGAAAGGAAGGCGAGAACATCGGCCAGCAGCGGGTAAGATTGAAATTTCTAGCTGCTGACTTCACCTCTTATTTACACATAGCGTTTCTAGAAGAGTGTTTTTTGTTTTCGTTTTCGTTTTTGAATCTTTTAGGATACAATCCAACACAATATTGTGAAACTAATTTGTACAGTAACGAGAGACAAAGCAAATGCTTCTGACCCTTCCACATAGCCTGTAAAGTGTAAAGACTACTTGAAGTATAATTAATGTGTCCAGTCCTGTCTCCAAAACCCCAAAACGCACGTCTCGGTTAATCCGGGCATGGTTTCTCTACTGCGAATAACCTTTCTGGTAACTTCAACAAATGTTCGAGCATGGCCCATCCTGCAGAGTGAACGAACCAAGTGTAGGCATGCAACTAATGGCTCTTTTGATGGTTACTTGGACTTCATTCGCTTCCTTGTCATTGGACATGCTCAGTCCGTTCGGCTTGCGAATTCAAATAAACACAACCAAACCAAACCAACTCGGGTGGATAGACCGTGAATATCAACAGAACAGTGAGAAGAGCATGAGCGTGTGAACTGTGTCGCCTATTATGGGTGTGGAGAGAAAGAGCGCTGGTAAAATGTGATGGTACTGAAGTAAAAAGGAAGGGTGAGAAGTAGGGGGGGAGGGGGTGAGAAGTAGGGGGGGGGGATGAGAAGTAGGGGGTGAGAAGTAGAGGGTGAGAAGTAGGGGGTGAGAAGTAAGGGGGGGGTGAGAAGTAGGGGGGTGAGAAGTAGGGGGATGAGAAGTAGGGGGGTGAGAAGTAAGGGGGTGAGAAGTAGGGGGTGAGAAGTAAGGGGGTGAGAAGTAGGGGTGAGATGTAGGGGGTGAGATGTAGGGGGTGAGAAGTAAGGGGGGTGAGAAGTAGGGGTGAGAAGTAGGGGGGGTGAGAAGTAGAGGGGGGTGAGAAGTAGGGGGGTGAGAAGTAAGGGGGGGGTGAGAAGTAGGGGGTGAGAAGTAGGGGGGTGAGAAGTAGGGGGTGAGAAGTAGGGGGTGAGAAGTAAGGGGGGTGAGAAGTAGGGGTGAGATGTAGGGGGTGAGATGTAGGGGGTGAGAAGTAAGGGGGGTGAGAAGTAAGGGGGGTGAGAAGTAGGGGGTGAGAAGTAGAGGGGGGGGTGAGAAGTAGGGGGGTGAGAAGTAGGGGGAGGGGGTGAGAAGTAGGGGGGGATGAGAAGTAGGGGGTGAGAAGTAGAGGGTGAGAAGTAGGGGGTGAGAAGTAAGGGGGTGAGAAGTAGGGGGTGAGAAGTAGGGGGATGAGAAGTAGGGGGGTGAGAAGTAAGGGGGTGAGAAGTAGGAGGTGAGAAGTAGGGGGTGAGAAGTAAGGGGGGTGAGAAGTAGGGGTGAGATGTAGGGGGTGAGATGTAGGGGGTGAGAAGTAAGGGGTGAGAAGTAGGGGGGTGAGAAGTAGAGGGGGGGGGTGAGAAGTAGGGGGGGGGGTGAGAAGTAAGGGAGGTGAGAAGTAGGGGGTGAGAAGTAGGGGGTGAGAAGTAGGGGGATGAGAAGTAGGGGGGGATGAGAAATAAGGGGGTGAGAAGTAGGGGGGTGAGAAGTAGGGGGTGAGAAGTAAGGGGGGTGAGAAGTAGGGGGTGAGAAGTAGGGGGTGAGAAGTAGGGGGTGAGAAGTAGGGGGTGAGAAGTAAGGGGGGTGAGAAGTAGGGGGTGAGAAGTAGGGGGATGAGAAGTAGGGGGGGGGTGAGAAGTAAGGGGGTGAAAAGTAGGGGGTGAGAAGTAGGGGGGTGAGAAGTAGGGGGTGAGAAGTAAGGGGGGTGAGAAGTAGGGGGGTGAGAAGTAGGGGGTGAGAACTGAAAAGTAGGGGGTGAGAAGTAGGGGGTGAGAAGTAGGGGGTGAGAGGTAGGGGGTGAGAAGTAAGGGGGTGAGAAGTAGGGGTGAGAAGTAGGGGGGTGAGAAGTAGGGGGGGGTGAGAAGTAGGGGGGTGAGAAGTAAGGGGGGTGAGAAGTAGGGGGTGAGAAGTAGGGGGTGAGAAGTAGGGGGTGAGAAGTAGGGGGGCGAGAAGTAGGGGGGGTGAGAAGTAGGGGGGGGGCTATCAGGGGTTCACAACAAGAGTGCTGGGAACCCAGAGCAGACCCATGCATCAGAAAGAGTTTCATATTTTATTTTACAATGATCATAGCTCACAGGCAAAGACACCAAATTGCATAGTGGGAGCATAGTGATGGCGAGGGCTTGTTACCCTCAGCCGCCCTCCGGTTTCAGCGTCATGGGGACATCGAACGCACCAAAAAAAGAAGAAGAAGAAATTGCGCTTTCTTATCTGTATCGTTATTTTGTTGCTCTCATCATGATATTCCGAATTAGGATTCTTCGCCCAATCGTGGTGGAAGAGCGCCGGGTCAGATCGAAGACTGTTCCTATGCATCTATTGGAGCTGAGGCCATCCCGTCTGCACCTCCTGTACCATCGTCGTCCTTATCGTCAGCTGCAGATGGCAGTGGGCCGCCACCGTGGGCACGTCACGTGAGTGGTCATGCTCCAGCTGCACCAGCGTTGCCAGTAAGTACTGCTGTAATTTACTTCATAAATTTTCCGGACAAAGGTTTTCGGTGCATAAAACTTCAATAGCCGCACCGGACACAAACGCACATCATCCGATACGGAATGGCTTCTCTGTACCTAAATTTTCTGTTCAAGTAACCTGGTCTTTTGCTCTCAAACTTGAGCCCCAAAAATAATTTGTAGACAAGAAAAAGGACCAAGGAACTATAAGTTACACTATAATGTCCACTAACACCACCAGTCAATCAACAATCAGCTCAAGCGATAACATTGCACGACACTGACCGACGGTACATGTACTGCGCGAGCTGATTGTTTTGTAACTGGTGGTGTTAGTGGCCATTATAGCGTAACTTGTAGTTCCTTGGCCTTTTTTTCTTTTCTGTAAATTTATCCTTGGCTCTCTATCCGAGCCGAAAAATAATATTTCTGAATTTCGAGTACACCGACAGGCAATGCTAATGCCAGGGCGGTGGTTATTATTGTAGATGTAGTTGGCGTTTGGGGTTTTACGATGGAAGTTAGTGAAATCCAGCAGCAGCAGCCTGGTGATAGGAACAGCGGCGGGCCATGCGGCCCCTACACTTCGATACAGTGAAGCCTCGTTAGGAAGAACACTGATAAGACAAATGTTTGCCTAAGGAGAACTAGTATTCGTAACTGTATTGGATAAAGGGATGCAGCTAATGGGATTTCGGTCCTTGACCACTTGGTGGTGGGTCTGATCTACTCACCTCCCACCGTTTAGGAGCTGCATCTGCGCCTTGATCCTAGAGGGTGGTGGCGTTCCCACGGCGGATGCGGAAAACTCGGCTTCCAGCCGAGTCTCACGCGAACCGTGATTTTTTTTATTTTTTTATTCACTGGGTAAAACATAATCATTATGGATAAGAAGAACTCCCGCTATTGCGAACAAACATAATCGGTCCCTTGATGTTCGTCCTAAAGAGGTTTGACCGTACAATGCCATGTGGCACTAAGCTGTGAGGTCAATACATCTTGTGCTCATGTGAAGATGCAAAACAGTCTCTCTGGTCTCTCTTCTTATTGACGCTGCCTGCCTGGATTGTATGTGTGCGGCGTTGCAGGACGGGGACTACCTAATGCCAGTGGAGGAGAAGATGAAATTCCAGAGCGAGGCGACAGCGCGACGTGAATCCAAAGCCGTTTCGGATTCCTACACTCCGGTTAGAACTTGCTACAACGCACACACAGACTGACGCCGATAGGCTAGAGGACAGTATTCCCTGTCGCGTCCCTTACTCCTGCCAGATCAGATTATAATATTATCATCTTGTTTCCTTGTACTCAGCATGACAGGTGTGCAAAGTAATTCGAATGAGCCAACGCCAATGGATATCCAAGTCCACCGCTGGTCCAGGTGCTCCACACACACCACAGCCTATTAGCCATCCTGTTGTGTTGTTCTGCATTTCCTCTGCACTTTGGACAGGAGAATGAATACTTGGCGCCTGTGGAGGAGCTGCGTCGAGCCCAGGATCGGTATACGGCCTCGCCAATCTCAGCAGCTGTGCGCAAGACACCCAAAACGGAGGTGAGTTTATCGAATGGCATTGCTTTCCGGAGTTGAGTCAGGGATGGAAGCACATCCGGAGTACATGTAATACATATCCTTCTGTAGCATGCTTTAACTCCACAGGAACACAATAATTGCGCAATAAAGTCAAGTGGCCAACATACATTTCACATGTACACAAGTCAGACTTGTTGTCTGAGGATTGGCGGATAGCCATATGAAACTCAGAGTTGCAGTTTAATTAAGGCTGGTTCCACTGCTAACTTGTGTTTTTGGCTCTACCCTCGCGGTATTGAGCACTTTTTGCAAGAGTTCAACAACATAACTTGTGCAGTGGAGCCTCGTTAGGAAGAACACTGATAAGATAAATGTTTGCCTAAGAAGAACTAGTATTCGTAACTATATTGGATAAAACCTTGTATATTCACCGGGTAAAACATTATGGATAAGAAGAACTCCCGTTATTGCGAACAGATATAATCGGTCCCTTGATGTTCGTCCTAAAGAGGTTTGACTGTACATTCACATGTACATGTACGTTTTATGTGATGTTCTACTGCAGAGGTATGCTGGGTCTGGATTGCCTGCACTGCCCTCCAGACCTGGTGACCATACCTATGACCTGCCAGAACGAAGGTTATATCAATTCGCACCCGATGCCTAGGAAGCAGGCCGAGATTCCATCAAGGTCGAAATTCAAAATGGCTCTTTCTCGACAACTGCATGTTTTCCCATCCCAATTTCAGTTCGGACAATGATCAATTCCCATCACGGCTCCGCTGACCTCTTAGCGCGTCTGTTGCCAGTTCAGCCACTGCAGACGATAATAATCATTATAATTTTTGTTACTCTTTACAAAGCCGCGTTTTAGGTTGTTCATTTTTTTAAAGATTTCACTCAAGTGGACATGTTTTTCGTGAGCGCTGCATTATTTTTGCTGTCTCTATTTGACTTTAGCCGGATGAACAGGCACTGCTGCCTTCTCGTCCAGCCAATATTGATGAAGCTGTCCTGGGGTGGCTTTCACGCTTTTCTTCAGATGCAGTTTCCCGCTTCAACTCGCTCACATTTCTGATTCTCTTTTGAAATGGCGAAGGATAATATTAACGTAGAACGAACGATTTCATTACAGACTTTTTAACCCTGGTGAACTCCCTACAAAATGATTCTTTGGCTCGAATGGAGCATGCCTTGTTACCAAGAGTAGGTAAGCTCCCTGCCCCATGAAGTATTCCGACTAATGGCAATGTGGGTATGGGAGTCGCAGAACGCATTGCAACATGTTAAAGTCGTGCATTGAGTGTGAAGATTACGGGCAATTAGAAGAGTGTGAAGATATGACGTTTGTCGTCAAAATATCGTATGGCTTTCCAGTTTTGCACACCGTTCATCGAAGATAGCATCATACCAATTTTCTTGGCCCGGTGTTTTGTTAAAGAGCTCTCCTGCAGGCAGGCATAGATGCGCATGCACATGTACCTGCACAAAATTACATCAGACCAAATCGGATACGCGATCACTTACATGTACATTGTAGCTCCGTCTGAAGGCAGGTGGTGGGATTTCTGAACTGTACATGTATGATGATTTTTAGAATAATAGCGTAAAGCTACAACCGAACAAGAGCTTTACGACGTAGTGTTGATGCGAGCTATGCGTGTTCTGCGTAGGGACCGGCGGATTCTGCTCGAAAAGGTGGCAGATTCTGCTCGAAAAGCAGTGAAATTGGCAGAACCATACAAACCTTATGGCGGGCAATTCCTCGAATTCTGCTTCATTTCTTTATCCACATACCAAACATTCATGAAACTTACCAGAAAAAAGTACCGAATTCTGCCAATTTTTCTGCCGGCAGAATCCGCCGGACCCTAGGCCTTCAACTTCTGTGCTGCCCGCTGTCTTCATTACGTAGTGACCTGACGCACAAGCTGGCTGGATATGAAAATGCCTCCTGACATCCTTAACAGTACATGTATATTCATTGCACTACTTGACTTGTCTCAAGGTTTGGAGACTCCACTGTAGCCAACACTTGAATCCATACATCCTGTACACACACCTTGTACACACTCTCTCTAACGGTCTCTAGGCTACACTGCAATTGATATACATTAGATCTAGTAGACTTATTCCTGATGATGGGCCTTGCCCGAAAATTTGAGCTAATGTATATCAATTGCAGTGTAGCCTAGAGACCGTTAGAGAGAGTGTGTACTTGACTTGTACTACTAGTATTCAAAACTTCCAGGGTTTGCACCGCAAACACAAGCACATAATTATACGGACGCGCGCACACGCAGTAGGACCATTGTTATTAGGGTTTTTTTTTAAATATGCGAACATACACACGCGCGCGCGCTGCAAACACAATACCTTCCTTCCGAAATCTCCCTTTTCTTCTGACTTCCTTTAATAGTGATTAATTAATTACAAGCCCACGCATCTACTTTACTACTGTCAGTAGTACATGTACATGTACGTATTCTTTGCTTTGGGCATAGAAGGTACTATCAATGCAGCTGGCGGACGGACATTTAACCATCTGTTTTCCTGCGTCAGTGGAGCCAGAGGTTGAATACAAACATAGATCGCATGACCAAACTTTGAATGGCTCTGTATGCGAGCAAGGCCAATGACAAGGACAATGGGCCGCAGTTCCGCTTGAAGCAGCATACATTTCCATACACCTCGAAGGCGAACAATGCCTAGATTCGCTATTTAAATCCACAACAACGCTGTGTGCAACCGGATACTAGGATCTGCCCTGTGTCAGCACTGATTCAAAGGGGACTACTAGTACTAGTAGTCGGCCAAGTGCACTACGCTACTACTGCAGTGCTGGCAACTGAAATCCGACCCCCTGATCAGCTGAGCGCACCGCTCAGGGGGTCGGATTTCAGTTGCCAGCACTGTAGTAATAATACATGGAGAGCTAAGTTGTAACGCCTGTACAGTGTACTGCCTGCTCTGTCCAAACAGCAGCACACACCCCACCAGAGCACACATCCCACCAGAGCACACACCCCACCAAGCATGGGCATCCGTGAAAACCTCTATTGAGTATTGTACAGTGCTGGCCACTGAAATCCGACCCTGAGCAGTGGGTTCACATTCTAGCGGTCTCTGTTTCGTACTTTTATCATCCTGTGTTGGGTCTTCGCGATGTGAGCGCACCGCTCAGGGGGTCGGATTTCAGTTGCCAGCACTCTAGACCATGTGAGCACGAGCCAGAGCGGAACGCTGGTAAAACGTACTATGAGTATGAGAAGACGCTGCCGCACACAATTAGATAAAAGAAAGCACAACATGTGACGAGTTGCGACTAACTCCCCCACCAACTACGTAACCACATCTTTATTTAAAATTATACAGTCAGCGAGCGAGTGCGACAAAACGGCACAAACTGACAAGGAATGTCTCAGTACTCCTCGTCTGTTATCGCTTTTTTTGTCGCATTCGCTGACTATATTATGATCTGGTTACATTGGTGGACAGTTAGTCATAACTCGTTTTATTTTTTCCTTCCTTTTATCCATGTTCACTTTGGCTCAACATCCGAGTTCAACTGTACATAATAGAAATAGATTTAGAAGTATATTATTATTTATATTGGCTGCCGCCAATGAGCGTTGAATAAGTCGAAGAAGTAGAGATTTCCATAATAGGAGTGTTCGGGGTCCTAACCGATTTCCTCGCCCGTGTGGGGTCGGTATTAGCCCAGCAGCTAGCTGCCTGATTACCTGCAAGCGGATATCCAATGGACGTTCAGTGTAACTGTCGCTCTCGTCCAAGCTAGTTGCCTATCTGCTTTGTCCTCTGAGGATCGGCAAATGGAGCGCCACTCGTACAGGCTGGGCCTGCTGCTGCTGCTTTTGGCCATCATTGTCCTGAGCGATGCTCAGCAAGGTAACTAGAGTAGTACTTGTAGAATAGGTTTCCGTGACTCACGTGCTGTCTGTGCGCGCTCGGACAAGCGAAACTTCTAAAGCTGGTGGTGCTTCTCAAGCCTTCTAGCCTTTTGAGCGCAAAAATGCACGAACTTTAATAACCATGCCCCGAGTCCTTAATTAAAATGGCTCTAGTCTTTCTGCTTCGCTCTATTTCCAGATTGGACCGCGTGCGATATACCTGTTGGAAAGGGGAAATGGAGACTTGCAATGAAGCTGTTCACGAGAGCTATGAAACACAGCCAAGCTCAGAGTTACTGCGAGAGCCAAGATGGCAATCTCTCCACCACCAGGGTCGGACACGAGCTGCAATGCGCCAAGACAGTGCTTGCAAGGAAAGCCTGTGAATGCGACGAGGCAGACCGGTGCACAACCGAATGCCAAGGTGGGGCATGCTCATGTAGAGTCTGGGTCGGCCTCAAACGACTTGCAGTTCAGCGTACTAGCAGTTCTTTCCAGTCTCAAAATTGGCGGTGGACATCGCTACGTCCATCCATTATCGTTCAGGATCTGCGGTGGCGTCATGGTGAACCCACAGACGACAACAGTCAGCTTTGTGGCTATTTGTGGCCGGAGAAGCACGGTTTGGGCGATTTTTTTTGCAATGAAAAACTCAGCTTCCTCTGCCAGAAACTCATCCCAAATGGTAAGTGTTCTTACAGGCGCTAGATACGCTAGATACAATGTACATGTATGTGTATGCACTAGTATACCCACGAGAGAATAGTGAACATACAGTTTACATTTGCAACTTCCCGACACGCACTAGAGGTGGTCATCCAAATGACAAAGACTTGTTTCACACCGAAAAATAAAGAAAGAACGTCCAGCAACAGGTCAACAATGAAGAGCATCAGCTGACTGAACTCTCGATATGTCACAGTCATTGTGTGTGTGTGTGTGTGTGTGTGTGTGTGTGTGTGTGTGTGTGTGTGTGTGTGTGTGTGTGTATGTGCGTGTTTGTGTATACGTTTGTGGGTGTGCGTGTGCGCGCGTTTTAATCATGTTTCTTTTCATTTTGCTAGCACCAACTCCTGTGACAGCTACGTCCAGTACTTTGCCCGCACGGTCCACGACTAAAACGCTGACGTCAACGCTACAGACGCTGGACACTACCAGTGTGTACCACGTGACAGAACCGACGGAAGAGGTCCATGCAGATCACGACATACCAACAGGTACAGATACATGTAGGGTTTTTTTTTTTTTTTTTTTTTTACTAAGGCCACAGCTTCCAATCATGACATGCAAAGCAGCGGTGCAGCATCGCAGGCATGAATCGTGGACGTGGTGACGGGGTCTGATGTGCTCCACCGACCTAGGCATAGCAAGCTCTGGTCTCCGGGGGAGCTCTACTGGGCGCTACAACGTTTACTTGTTTTTTTGTTTTTTTTAATTTTTTTATACGAAAGTCCACTATATTCCCGAATATGTGCGAGAAGTGGTGGCGGGGCCAGGCTGCTCTGCCGACCTCAAAGGTCTCGGCGTCTACGCAGACAAAGCGCGCCATAATGCAGTAAAACCATGTAGAGAGGAGGAAGAGGGGAAATGAATAATAGTGAGAAACAAGGACAACGGGTAGATGGTCGTGAGAGAAGCAGAGTGAAAGATAACGTCACATTGTGGTAAGGGGGGGGGAGGATGCTAGTGAGGCACTGGTCTAAACCGTTTCATAGGGCGTCGGTGGCTGCTTGCCAGTTTTTTTTTTTTTTTTTTTTTTACTATGTTCACACTCCCAGCTCGAAAATAATAAAGAAAGACAATGATACTGAGATTAGGACGAACGTGACAACTATTGAGCAGGGGCTGCACCGAGACGCAGCAGTGATGGTGGGGCATTAATGGCTCTGCCGACCAGAGGTCTCGGCATCACGGCCAAAAACACGCACCAAAAACAAAAGATAGAGTTGTACGAGTCAGCAAAATGAAAAGAAAGGAAGGGTTAACATCAGCGAGTGTGCGGGAGAAACTGTGAGACTATTAACCAATTACAAGGGCTGTTACTGAGAGGAGCATCATCATGGCTGATCATGGCGAGTCGGTTGTCTGAGCCAGTTGTGGTGCATAGATAGGGATAGAGGAGAACGACGTTCAGGTGCAGCAGATACGTGTTGCACGTGTACATGTATGTTGTTGGTTTGACAGCATGAAACAAGGTGGAGGACACTGTGTTCGGAAACAGTGACCTTACTACAGTAAGACCTCACTTAACCGCACACATGATCCATTTTCCACAAAAATATCCGGATAGGCGAGGGAACCGGATAATGGAACACACATACTGTATGTATGCATGACATATGCTGTACAGTAAATCGGTAACCAACGGTTTTCGTCCGGCTGGCGAGGGATCCGGATAAAAGAGGACCGGATAAGCAAGGTCTGACTGTACAACCATCCACCTTGTTTCATGCTGTTTCATGCTGTCAAACCAACAACATGTCTGAACTATACTATGAGTTCACAAGGTTTATCTAATACTAGTACTGTACTAATAATAAAACAGGTCGCGTAATGAAGCAGCATAACGATAGATGTGCAAAGTCATGATGCCTGGTCCGCTTCTGTCCTGGGTTCACTACCCCGTGCATTGCAGCCGCGAGCAAAACCAGCTCAGGCTGAGAGTTCCCTCCGTGATTGCTTGTCCAAAGCGCGCGCGTTCTGAGCCCACTCGGATCGGTCATGGTCTTCAGTGGCATGCCTCTGGCAGCAGCGCTTGCCTTGACTGCCGTGGACTGACTGTACTAGTATTGGATTATCTAATACCACGTACACACCATGTACATGTATGTACTGTGCAGTACTGTACCAGGGAAATCGCCTTTATTTTAACGGATCCTACCTGCAGCACCAGGTTCAGACCCAGCGCCCAATGTTCAAAGTTTTTTTTTGTTTTTTTGTTTTTTACTAAGTACACAACCTACTCGTCAGAAGGGGAGAAGACAACAGAGTATACAATAACAAAACAGCAGGGAGAGTAGGGGCTGCAAAGTGCAAGGCACATGAGCGCCAGGGGCTCTTTTATCGACGAGGATGTGTTTCACTGGCCATTCAGCACTGCTATTATCACCTTTTAAAAGTGTCATCAGTATGACTCCCGCCTTGTAAGGGCTTTCGGCGTGGAAACTGGGACTTGCACCTCGGCACAGACACTCTGCCAATGTGCAGATATTGAGCCGGTATTGAGCGGGTACTGAGCGGGTATTGAGCGAGTATTGAGCTGGTATTGAGCACTCATTGAGTAGCAGTACTATTGTACATGTATAGCAATCTACATTTGACTATCAATGGCCTCAAAAGTGATCTCTCTCTCTCTCTCTCTCTCTCTCTCTCTCTTTCTCTCTCTCTCTTTCGCTCTCTCTCTTTCGCTCTCTCTCTTTCGCTCTCGCTTTCGCTCTCTCACTCTCTCTCTCTCTCTCTCTCTCTCTCTCTCTCTCTCTCTCTCTCTCTCTCTCTCTCTCTCTCTCTCTCTCTCTCTCTCTCTCTCTCTCTCTCTCTCTCTCTCTCTCTCTCTCTCTCTCTCTCTCTCTCTCTCTCTCTCTCTCTCTCTCTCTCTCTCTCTCTCTCTCTCTCTCTCTCTCTCTCTCTCTCTCTCTCTCTCTCTCTCTCTCTCTCTCTCTCTCTCTCTCTCTCTCTCTCTCTCTCTCTCTCTCTCTCTTTTTCTCTCCCCCTCCCTCTCTCCATGTACATGTTCACGTTTTCTTCATTCTGCTTTGCTTCTCCACATTAGATCAGGCCAGTAAGCCACATAGAGTGACGTCGGAGCATGTCCTTCCAGCGTCATCACGCACTATGAGCCCAGAGCAGCAGAGGATAACGGAGGCCGGCAACGGGGCCATTGTCGCTATGGGCGTCACGCTGGCAGTGTTCGGGCTGGCAATGCTCGTTTTGATTGTTGCCTGGCGTTCCAGATCCGTTAGATCGTCAAGGAGATTTTTTCCAGGTAAGGATCTGTACTCACGTCACGTGTGTCATCGGCAGTACTGTTCGTAACTACTGGTTTCACATAGTGCTGAAACGATTACGTTTTTTCCTTAGTGGCTTAGCTGATACCATAACGATCGGCTTATCGGCTAAACGATTATTATTGTAACTACATCAGTACATGTACATTCTGTGAATTTCAAAATTTTACGAGTCCAACAATTACATCGCCAACGACGGAAAGCGGGTGCATAGATCCGATGTTCCCGCAACAAGTCTGTCAGCTGTTCGGACTGACCAGACGAATACAGACCAGACAGAGGCAACTCACTGGTTGCAACCCAAGTGCTAAGCCATAATCCTTGTTTCGCTCTTCTGTGTAGTGTGAAGAGGTCAACGAACATGTAGAGCTCACTTTGATGAAGTAGGCAAGGCTGTGAGCGCTGTGGCTCAAAGCGATAGGCCCTAAATCGTACGAGATATTTCGAGCGCCATTGTTTGTTGCGAGCGCTTCGTCTTCGATGAGTCTTGCCTCTTTCCTGTCAGGTTTCCTCCAACAGGACCAAGCACGAAGTAACTGTACTCATCTGCAGCCGATCAATGTTCTACTGCGCAAGAAGATTGCGTTTTCGCCAAGCCAGTGCCCCGCCAAAGACCATCGCCATGTCACAACGTCGGAACGAGTTCATGATGAGAATCATCATTCGCGCGAGCTTGATGAAGAACTATTTCGAAACACAACATAGTCTCTACCTCCGGGACGACAACTATGCGCCGGTCCTGGAAGGGGAGAATGTCTCCAGCGATAAGAACGAAGACGACGGCGGTATTTCGGCAACGTGGAGTCAGCGGAGTTCGTCAAGCTCTTCCGCCTCCGTGATCCGGTACATGTCGACACGAGCGTGCGGGAACACAGCATACACTGTAGGACTGTTGCGAGAGTTTGCGGAAGGAGTCCACGTCGGGAAATCCATCAGCTCCAAAAGCTACCTGTAGGTGGGCGATGAGACTCCAGCTTCAGACTACAACAGTCAGGACTTGTAAATAGTTGAACTTTGTGAAGCAGCAGATCGAGAAGTTAGTTGAAATCATAGCTGTTGCAGTATGTCGGCGCTATGTAGCTTGTATTTTTTTACGGAGAGTCGATCGCCACGCGAATGTTTCTCTCCTCACCGAGAGCTAGCTGGCCTCCAAACTCCGTCAGGGTCTGCCTAAGGTACCGAAGGTCCTTTGACTAGCTGCTGGCAGGACTCCATCAAATCCTTTAGCTTCAGCTCGGCGAGCAAAAGTCTCTCTCTCCTCCAACAATCTTTTCGGGATTGGTAAGAAAAGTAGTCAGCTCAAAAGACGACGACGGTGATCACGTCGATGTTTCTCAGATCGCGCTTGTACTTTACACGTACATCGATGTTGCAAGTGGACAGTCATAATTCGTGTCGTAGATCTACTCGCAACACTTTCGATGCATGCACGCTTTGTGAGACCCCAAAAAGGGGGGAATTCCCACACCGAGTGTATGTACATGTACCATTCTACTCGTTTAGCCGATAAAATCGAAATAACCGTTCGATCTATTTCTTATCGAGTAAGTAACGAGTAATCGATATAATCGTTTCAGCACTAGTTTCACACTGGTTTGACTTCTTGTCTTTGCTAGAACTTCACTGGAGGTGGAAGAAGACGCGCATCTGGAGTCAAGGTGGAAACCAGCAGCGCTGTGTAAGTGTGTGTCCGAACAATACAGTCATGTACATGTACATGTAGACACTCCATAGAATGGTGTATGGATGTACGTATGGGGTATGGGGTATGTATGGGGTATGGGGGGTATGTATGGGGTAGGGGGGGATATGTATGGGGTAGGGGGGATATGTATGGGGTATGGGGGGGGGGGGTATGTATGGCTGTGCTTCTGCACGATCACCTTCCCTTCAGACCTGGAGCAGTACGTACCCCCCCCCCCCAGCATTACATTCTACGCAGATACAATGTACACGAGAGGATCAGGTCATTAATTTTGTAGCTTCAAAGTAGGTACAGTACCTGAAGAGCAGCATCACTTGGACTCGACTTGCGCTTTCAACAATAGCTCGTTCCCCTCTGCTTGGCGCATGGCATGGGGCACGTACAGGCTGGATCGATTCAAAAGCGTGAAAAGCTGTAAAGGATCTACTGGCATACATTCGCAGCCAAAGGAAACCGGTAGAACATTGGGTGATTTTTTAATACTAGTACTGTACCCTCGAGATTCGAGAACACAGTACTAACTGTAAAGCTTCGGTGAAAGTTGATACAAGTGTGTACAGTACTGTACTGTCGATCTACAGTGCTGGCAAATGAAATCCGACGACCCCTGAGCGGCGCGGCCATATTCTAGCGGTCTTTGTTTCGTAGTTTTGCCATCCGGTGTTGGGTCTTCTAAAAACTCTTTGCGATGTGAGCGCACCGGTCAGGAGTCGGATTTCAGTTGTCAGCACTGTACACTGATACCCTGCATACTGTATTTTCGTGCTCTAAGGGAGATATTACCAATAACAGATTAAAGTTGCTTGGTCTGAAAGGCGTGTGTTTACCGCCATATTGCCAGGTGTGTCTTTACCACCATAATTATTATTTTATCAACAACCATGGTCTGAATTTCACTTGTTTTAGTAGTGTATTATAGTTACTACGCAGTACTGTGCATGCTAGCTACATGTACATAATCATAATAACTGTTTTTGGTTTTGCCCGTACAAGTGGCTTGAGCAGGTAAAAAAACAAACAAAAAAACAAAAAACAATAACAGATAATCTGATTAGTTACATGTACAGTGTACCTTCAAATCCATCCAGCATGTTGGAGCGGAGTACGCGTGTCCCCCTCTTCCATTTTGGTGATAAAGGACAAATTCGCACGACGACAGCATCGCCATCAGTCACAATAGCAACACATGTACAAACCGTTGTCAAGGAAACATGTACATGTACATGTTGTCTGTCAAATTCCACTCCTTTTGTATGCGGACTGCCACCAGCATGGGAATGAGTGCACTGCACAGTGAACTCCGTTCTCTAGTCTGCCTACAGTATTGGAGAACGGGTTTATTCGCCAAACCTATTGCGTGAAACCATAAAGTAAGACCGAAAGGAAAAGAAAACCCAGTTTTGCCAATACATGTACATGTACTGCACATAGTACTCTCAACTGAAGCATAAGATTGAACACAGAAGCTTGACAAGAAACCGCTGCCCAAATGCCTTGCTAGTTTTCTATTGTGTTACATGTGCATGTGCATGTACATGTAGTCCCTGCACTAATTTTCACACAGTCTGTACTGTAGAGTAGAGTGACTCTGGACCAGGTGTGACGAAAACTCGCGTCCGCTAGTGACAACAGCGTATACCGTTATCCTGGGCAACAGTGGGCTTGGCAACGGTGAAGTTTGTCTGCACAGTTTTACTTCAATAATAATTATGTGCGTGATTGTACTGTGTGATGAGTGTTTATGAACACGAACCTCAGAGTTACGAGAAGAATTTTTGGTCTCTGTTGTTCTGCCTTTGTGCATGTTGCATGAACATGTACACATGACGCGCCTAGCGTGCACAGTCAAGAAGTTATTTTCTGAATAAGATATTAAATCTGCGCACTCATTACTCCGGCACACAATGAAAACGGTACAGATGTTTCCAAGAACGTTTTCTTGTGACGTCCATCAGTTGGAAAATACTAGTACAACTACAGTACACTAGTAAAGTAAAAAAAAAAAAAGTAAATTATCGTATCCGTTCCCGAAGGGAACTCACGACGGCCGCTAACACCCGATCAACCCTACACTACAGTACACTGGGGAATACAGGAAAGAACAGAGAATGTGAAATACTCCATCTGCGGACAGAACTGTTTCGTCCTTTGTGGACTCGTCAGCGCAGCACAGAGGAAATGAGGCCGAACCTGATAGCAATGGAATGTGAAATATGTATAGTATACCGGTATGTACATACATGTACATGTGTATGTGCAGCGTTTAGGTGAAACATTGCGAGATGAATACTAGCACAATATTCTGGTGCAAGGGATGTCAAGAGTGAGAAACCAAACGCAACATCATGGACTAAACCTAGAAATGAAGTGTCAAAACTACGGAAAAAGTGTGCGTGTTGTGACGGATTCTTTCTGTGGGCATAGGTCAGGTTGACAGTCGTGAATGTGGACAGCTTCTAACACTTTCAATTGAAAGAAAATAATACGAGCAAGATATACACCGCTGTCTTGCATTGCAGCCTCGTTCAGATCCATGTCTTGTTGGTCTGTTTTTCCTCATTTCCTGCCGCTTGCCTTTGGCTTTGTATAGGAATCAGCCACGGAGCACCCTGTTCCCACAGGGGCCGCAGCGCGAGGGGCGGAACCGACCGGCGCAGCCATCCGTGTGCAGCCGCGTGCCATCCCGGTGACGTCGAACGGAGGAACGGGTGATTACGATAACCCCATGCCCTGCGGTAGTCGGAGAGCTCCTCCTGGTTTGGAAGCAACTGTTATTCCAGTTAGTACATGTATATGTACCGAAGATCTATAGAATGAAATTGAATGAAATTGAATTTTGAACGACACATTACAAGAGAGAGAGAGAGAGAGAGAGAGAGAGAGAGAGAGAGAGAGAGAGAGAGAGAGAGAGAGAGAGAGAGAGAGAGAGAGAGAGAGAGAGAGAGAGAGAGAGAGAGAGAGAGAGAGAGAGAGAGAGAGAGAGAGAGTTAGAGAGAGAGAGAGAGTTAGAGAGAGAGAGAGAGAGAGAGAGAGAGAGAGAGAGAGAGCAATAAAAGATATACTAACTAAATTACATGTATTAAGTAACCAGGCCGGTTACATGTTTACGTGACTCTTATTTCTGATAATTTGCGATGAAATCGAGCCTCAGATGTCTCAGGTTTCTAAAAAAAATCGGCTGAGGTCGATACAAAGTTAAGCCATAGTGAGGCAAAGAGACATTTTCCGGGTCTGCTTCAGGGTCAAGTGAGATTCATGTGGGCAGGAAATGCGCCAGCTCCCACGTAGGGAGCGACACACGATTCCCCAAGTATCGCCGAAGTCGCACCAACCTCTGCTCCAAAAGCAGAAGGAAATTAAAGTGGAGAGCTTGATCGATGCTGTTGAGGGAGCAATGCGATTTCTCACTGGGTTCACGGATCAAGTGTCTTTATATTTTATACTGGATCCACTGTTATCACTTTTAAAACGTATTCGACTTATGCCTATTTTGATTCTCACTTTGACAAACTAATGTACCGGTGTACAACTACAGCAACACGTGTTCTCTTATTGGCCACATGCCATCGTGAGAATAGAAACTTTCAATAACAACAACAAAAAGTGTTACCCAGGGCTATAAGTATGTTATTATTTTGCATCTTGTGTTGTCTTACTGGCAGGACAATGAGTATCTGGTGCCTGTGGAAGATAGGCTGAAGCTACACCAGCCAATTACATTGGCGAATCCAGCAGCAGCGCATGCTGAAGCGGTGCTAGATCATGTGAGTATTGCTAGATGGCACGGCAATGGACTGGAGTGTGTCCTTACTGGGATTCAATGAGTTACAGAGGGAATAGTGCTTGTCACAGAGCGCGGTTGGATGACCTATACTGTTTGTATGTGACTGGGAAATAACTTCAAATAAGTGAACAAACGATTTGGAGACAGCAGCTTAAATAACAGCAACAAGGAGCACTTATTTTGCTGTAAGCTTGTCCTATATCTCGCCATATATGAGTTACACAGTACAAAGTGAAACGTTCATTGTAGGGCCCACAGCGAGAAATAACGAGAACAAATCCCCTCGTTCTTTCTCGTTGTGTACCCAACAATCATTCGTTGTACTTCAAGTACATTGTACTCGTGCAGGGCGAGAAAGACATACTTCCACGAAATGTGTCCCCTTTGTTGCTGTAGGATCGGGAAAGAAACTATTTTGACCTTATCTCAGACAAGAATATCGGCATTACCCTCGATTCTCTGTATGCATCAAGCATATACATGTATGCCATGTTACCAGTGCAAAAGGAGACTACGCGGTCTTGCAGGAACTGAGTATACAATCATACACATGTACTCTCAACAAGAGGAGTGAGCTTGTGTCAAAGTGTCGCCACGAGAACAAGTACTACCTTCGGAACTTCAAACTATCCACAGCCATCATCTAGTTAAGTAAGAGACAACCAGCTCCAGTGGTTGTCACTTTTCACCACTGCTGTCATTCGCACTTTTAGATTTGCTCCATGATGCAGTCATTTTACTAGTACGCTTTGCACTGCCGCCATTCACAACTTTTAGATTTGCGCCGTGATGCAGTCATTTACACTTTGCTTTGTGTGTATATAAACCAGTACTGGTCCAGATTGGCTCATTGCTGTTTTCTGATGACCGCTTAGTGCGTGAAACTCGGAGTTAAAACACTTTCTCTGTCCTTTTTTTAAAGTTTTACTATTGACACAGCCCTACTGGAAAACAGGTGGAGAACAAAAAGAAACGAGGAAAAGGACAAAACATAGGGCTCCGGGCTATTGTTTGAACCAGCTCTGCCTCTCGGTATTGAGCACTCTCTTGCACAGCCTAGCTGGAACCGTGCTCTCTGTTTTACACATGTACATGTAGTCGAGTGTTGGTCTCGAACGTACTGTATGAGATCGAACTCTGAGAAGACGTTCTACCAACGAGACTAGAAAATGTACTTCTTATCAGAAAAAAATAGAATACAGGACAACACACTCATGCCTCGGACAATGTCTATGCTAAGCAAGTAAATGTCCTACCAGAGTAATACTGAGTACTGGTGCGGCCCGCTGTATGTCACTTTCGGTTGACCATGTACAGCAGTACGAGAACCATAAACCAGCTGTGCCAAAGCCGCTGCCAGCTGACAGGTACACTGCCACGCCATCGTCCATTCCCCAAATTCAGCCCGATTATTCGGAGGTGAAGGTGAGAAAGCCACTAGTGGGGGGGGGAGAGAGAAGAGAGAGAGAGAGAGAGAGAGAGAGAGAGAGGAGAGAGAGAGAGAGAGAGAGAGAGAGAGAGAGAGAGAGAGAGAGAGAGAGAGAGAGAGAGAGAGAGAGAGGGAGAGAAGGAGAGACAGACAGACAGACAGACACACAGACAGACACACAGACACACAGAGAGATACACAGAGAGACAGCGAGAGAGAGAGACAGCGAGAGAGAGAGACAGCGAGCGAGAGAGAGAGAGAGAGAGAGAGAGAGAGAGAGAGAGAGAGAGAGAGAGAGAGAGAGAGAAGAGAGAGAGAGAGAGAGAGAGAGAGAGAGAGAGAGAGAGAGAGAGAGAGAGAGAGAGAGAGAGAGATAGAGACACAGAGAGAGAGACAGAGACACAGAGAGACACAGAGAGACACAGAGAGACAGACAGAGACAGAGAGAGACAGAGAGAGAGGCAGAGAGAGAGAGGCAGATAGAGACAGAGAGACAGAGACAGAGACAGAGAGACAGATAGAGAACTGTGCTCCACTTGTCCTTACATGTATTCCTGGTATGTACTGCACGTGAAAGCTCATGCTGCTTTCCTTCTATCCATTTCTCATACAGATCTACCCGTCCAAGCCAGCACGTCAAGGTCGGAGAACTGATGAATCTGACCTGTATGATAATGCCAAGCTGGAGGACTATCGGAACTGAACAACCAGTCTCAAATTCACGAATCCTCACTGACGATCATCATCACTTTCAAACCTCCCAAGCTTTCCCTCAATCTACGAATCGTCATGATTCCTTTATGCTCACAGATGTTTTTCTTATTGTCCTCGAATTCCACAGACCCTGTGTAGTTAGTGTCCAGGGGGTCGTCAAATAATTTTATGTTTTTAACGACTCCCTGTTAGTGATAAAACCAGTTGGGTTTTTCTCAATAACATCATCTCCGCAAAGTGATCACTTCCAGTTCTTGATCTCGGCTATGCTGTTGCATGCTGCTTGCCAATCTGTATGGCCTAGGTTGAACATCTCTGTGCAATGATTTAGTGAAACTCACCTACTACGCAAAACAAGGTTTATTTTAATGTAATCGGATAACACGCACTCTGACAAGATGTCCATATGTTTTAGCACGGACATTGCCCATAACGCCAGTGTAATAAGTATTGCTCCATATTGCAGTGCATTTCGCAGGGTATTCATAAGAAGTTCCTCCGATACAGAAAGTACAGTTCTTGTTTATTAGTATTACTATTCTTATTTTTTTCTCATTTTGTTAGGGATTTCCCAACAGTGTTCTCCGTGGAGTTCGTTTTCATCCATGTACAGTTGTATACATTTCAACAGCTCGCCTTTTTTATTTTTTTACAAAGACCACTTAAATGCCAAACATGAGATATCCTAACTGTAAAAAAGAGACATCACTGTTGCAAGCCATAGCTGCTGTAAATGACAGATTGCCCACTCACTCCGCCTCCTTCTTTCTGTCTGGCATACCGAGGTGGACTTGCACACACAAGAGTAAAAGTAAGTGAAAGTAAATAATTATCGTGTCCGTTCCCGAAGGGAACTCACGACGGCCGCTAACACCCGGTAAACCCTAGCGGCAGATGCAGCGCCTAACGGTGGTGGTGAGTGGATAAGTCTCACAATCACTGACACAAGTGCCGAGAAACTCCATAAGTTGCATCCGTGCACATGTACATGTGCTCTGGGCTAATCCTGGCCATGGTCAGTCCCGGGGGTGGGGGCTGGTCCCCCTTTAGGGACGTGCACACCACTAGTTACTTGACAATCAGGCCATGCGATAACATGTGCACACCACTGTGCTAGAGCTGTTAGCCAGTTAGTTGTAGAACGTCAGTAACAGTTACCGTCGGTCAGTGTCGTGCAATGTTACTGCATGAGCTGATTGTCAAGTAACTGGTGGTGTTAGTGGACATTACAGCATAACTTGTAGTTCCTTGGTCCTTTTCTTTATTATAAATTAATCATTGGCTCTCCATCCGAGTAAATACATTGCAAATTACGTGTGATTGGGTAAATTCACACCTACGACTATACAGAGTAATTATGTAGGATTAAATTATCAAGTGCGATAAAGTTATCTTGTTGGTATGTTGTTGGTCTGTTGTTGGTATGGTGTTTTGTAATTTTTATTGTTTAAGGATTCCCCAAAGGCTTTCGCCTATCGACGGGGTTTCCTAACTTTCCATAATACCGAATCTGTAAAAGAGGTGATGAGCAATAGGTGAGCAACTAAAGAGAAAAAGACATGGTCTAGGGCAGAGCTCTGCGCTTGAGCATATGATTGTAAGCGTACATGACTGGTGTGGTATATAAGTACTTATGTCGGTAACTCGAAACCATTGAGGACTGCTAAGAGTAGAACCTAATCAGTAACAAAATGAAATCGTCATAAGCGTGCGGGAATTGAAAATGAGAAAATTGTGAAGACACAAGAGAGATTGGGAGCTGTGTCGCAACTCTAACTTCTCTAAGCTTCGCGTATCACTGCGATCATTAGGCAACGAAAAGTGTGAAGAAAAATTAATGTGACTGTCAGTCTGTCACCACGCGAGGAGTGAAGTTTGGCATAAAATTATTGCATTTCACCGTGGGTGCTCAGCCCAACTACCATACAGGCACGCTCGTACTCTAGGTGGGAACCGCTTTGTGCTTTGAATGTAACACCAGAGGGCGTGATGCCGTTTTCGGCGGGCAGGCTTTTAGAAATAACGTTATCAATAACCAGTTAATATGTTATCAATAACGTTATAAATAACGTTACAATAACGTTACAATAACGTTTAAAAAAACAAAAACAAAAAATAACGTTATCATCATCATGCACACATTCTCACTGCTGAAGACCCAAGGGTGAAAATGTGGAGATACATGTACTAAACTATCGGAATTGCAATGTGAGGCCTTGGTAGTGGTGGTGACTTTAGGACCTTTTGCCTGGCACTTATAAATGAGGAGCGGGCTAGCGGTTGCTCTGTCGTCTCTTCCCATTGCCCACTCAATTCATTTGTTCGCTTTGTCAACGTGTAAACATATCTACCCGGAAGAGTGAGGTACATGAGTAGATCTACGTTAGAGATTGAGCGCGGAGACATAAAGCATTGGTAGTACGGCTGTAACTTGTAAGGGAAGTAACTGAAGTTAGTTGTGAGCAGTGAGAAGAAAGTGGCATTTAAAAGAACAGTGCCCCTTTTTAGGGTCCGCGAGTCGTCTCGCCCTTGCTAGCATATTTCAGCTACAAGTACCGGTATGTGCAGTTGGAAAGCTTGGTGTCTGGGAACCTCCTGACCACTATGGACGAGTCATTTCCGTGTTAGGCCCTCAGCGCAACGATGAAGATGCGTGTTGTCTACATTGCAGGCGCATGAGGAGCATGGCAAGATACCGGTAAGAATGATCAGAACATGGAGGAACCGCGAGTCTGTATGCAGAGCACATGCCTCATCGGCATAGCACTCAGTGACTGCCTACTGAGAAGTAAGCACCTGGAGCGTCTCTCAAGGAACCACAAGTCCCAGACATGCTACCGCGGTGATGCAGGAATTCGAAAATGACCAGTTCACACTGACAAGACGGCCTACATAGAGCAGATCATGTCAACTCAGTACCTTCTCACGCCGTGGGGCAAAATGTCCTCGCAGGTGCAACACACAAGACGATACGTGTCCTATTTTACCTTCGCTGCTGCTCCTGGAAGAAGCCCCACCAGAGCAAGCCAGCATCTAAACTCTAAACCTGCTCTCTTCCTATTTTGCCTTTCATCTCTCCAACCGTCTAGTATTCCTTTCATTGGGTGCTTGACGGGCAGGAGAAATTCCTGCGTTCAGGAGGATGCACTCGATACTTCTCCGAGCGGTAACCTGCTTTGTGTTATTGCTGCTATTGGAACATGCAGATTCCTGGCTCGTGAAAAAGCAAGGTATGTGAAATCTGCTCTATTCCACTTAGCACTTATCCCTATGGTTGGGGCTATTGGTAACCATTATCCACGGCCATACGAAATTATCCATTTTTTTACAGAATGAGAAGGAGCAGTTAGTACTACTTAGGATCCAATCACATTCGACCGAATATCGGATACGAAAAATATAATGTTGATTAGGATTTGACCGGTCCACAGACAGTCGATCTTTCACCTACTAGGAGCATGTGTTTTAAAAAGTGGCTTCGGTCCACCAAAATTGTGTGCGACAAAGTAGAAGTCAGGTCACGGGGACGAAATCAAAGACGCATAACTGTCAACATTCCCTCAACCCTGGAACCTTTGCATCCGTTGCATTATTTTCTTGAAAAATTCATCAAATTCAAATTCGTTACTTGTAGTACTCCCTCATTGATTTGTTTCCGTCTTCTCTTTGTGCCTTGTTCATGATTGTATTTTCCTCTTCCTCCTTTTCTTATATCACCACCTTCATCATTTTGCGAGAACTGTGGCAATACGCCCAGTGAGAAGGCAGATTTTGCCTGTGCTTCTGGTGAAATAAAATAAAGCTAAACAAACAAACAAACAAACAAACAAACAAACAAACAAACAATTCAGCTCATGCAGTGATATTGTATGACACCTAGGATCAACGGTACTGACATTCTACTGCCATCCACCTCTAGCATATCCTGGATGCGCAAATTTAGGGACCGGCGGATTCTGCTCGAAAAGGTGGCGGATTCTGCTCGAAAAGGTGGCAGATTCTGCTCGAAAAGCAGTGAAATTGGCAGAACCATACAAACGTTATGGCGGGCAATTCCTCGAATTCTGCTCCATTTTTTTATCCACATACCAAACATGCATGAAACTTACCAGAAAAAGTACCGAATTCTGCCAATTTTTCTGCCGGCAGCCGCAGAATCCGCCGGACCCTATGCGCAATCCAACAGCATTCCAACTTGGATTGTCAATTTACTGATGGTATTACTGGACATTAGAGCGTAACTTGGTCCTTTTCTATAAATAACCCCTTGGCACTCCATCCGTGTCTATCCATTTACGTCTACTTGACTCTACCGCTTCGTGTTTGTATAGCAATTATTGTTACAAACGGTGGTAAAAAAAACCGTGCCATAGAGCATAACACATATTCCTTCTTTGAGAAAAAATGGTACGGATGGCGTAACGATAATTGCTATGCAAACACGAAACGGCATAGTCAAGTAGACGCAAATGGACATCGAATTGCAGCAACAACAACAAAAAAGAAAAAAAAGCAGCAACAAAGTCAACTAAACGAGAGAGCTTGGAAGCTCAGGGCCCTACGCTATGCTTTTATGCTTTTTTGCCTAGCTCATCGTACATGTTATAAGAACTGAGACAAAAGTATTTGCAGAATTTATTGCGGATTGTTATTTCTCTAATAATTATCTTCTTTTGGTTTGCTCCTTCTTTTCTTTTTATCTCCTTATACTGTAAATCAACAAATGTTGGCCGATGAGAAATAGAAACCTCTCTAGTATGAGGGGTTGAGATGCACGTTATTTCCGACGTGACGCGCAATTTCACGTCAAATTTGAAATCGATAGGTATTTTTGCTCTCACATGCATCCATTGCTCAATAATGCATCAATTTCCTATATGACAAACTTTGGCCTGTGATTTACTTTGGCCGGTTGGTACCAAGCGGCGAAATCAGCGAAATGAAATCGCCAGCGAAAATTAGTTGATTTTAATACAGTAATCGGATTTTCTGGCCTTTTTGTAGTAAGACATGTACATTGACCTGTTGAGCCAATGACGACGCCGAATGCATGATTGCCTGTGGAGCACATTACATAACTTAGCAGTCTCCTAAAATACGTATCCTGTCCGACGGCAAAAGAGTCTGCAGATTTAGTTTTTCTGCGCTTCGCGGGATGTCTGCGACGCGAAAGTTCAGCTCGCGTTATTTGGCTCGCACGTCGAAAAATCAACGCGAGTGACCTGCTGCTCACGTGGAAATTTGGACATTACATAACTTTACAGTCTCCTATAATACGTATCCTGTCCGACGGCAAAAGAGGCTGCAGATTTAGTTTTTCTGCGCGTCGACGGGATGTCTGTCCTGACGTTCACTGGGACCGGCGCTGACTCTGCCGATCACGGGCGTTCTGGACTCAACGGGATGTCTGTCCTGACGTTGCCTGGGACCGGCGGACTCTGCCGATTACGGGCGTTCAGGAGTCGACGGGATCTCTCTTCCGACGTTTCCTGTGACCGGCGCTGAATCGCTCGTTCACGCTTATTTTGGAGACGACGCGATCTCTCTTCCAAAGTACATGTATGTTTATGCTGACGCTGTTTATGCTGACGCATCCTATCACCTATTCGGCGTCTATTCTTATTTAATTTCCTCCTCGTCTCCCTATTTCATTCCAAATCTCCCTCTACATCAGGGAGTCGTATACATAATACGACGAATATTGGTACGGTACGGGACAGATACAGGAGCCCGCAAATATTGTGGACAGCTGTTATGTACAATCCTGTAGAGCCTTTGTAGTCACAGATACGGGACAGATACGGGACAGATACGGGATAGCGCCAGGCGTGACACAAACAAACAAACAAACACACAAACAAACAAATACCAAATTAAAGCTGTGTGGACCCTGGCTAGCGCCAGACGTTACTGAAGTAACGTCTTCTGCATAGCTACGGGAATAATTATAAATTATCTACAATGTACATGTAGGTGTTCACATTGTAATGTTTTGTAATGGTCTGCGTGACAAAGGCCAATGCCATCAAACTGCAGTCGCGGCAGACAAGAGCCTTTCAAAAGCTGGCATAATTCGGGCATACTGGAAAACAGAATTCAGCAATTTACCGAACAAAATCCGCCAAGGGCTAATTATATTATTATTATTATTATTATTATTATTATTATTATTATCAGTTGAGACTAGGCATTGGCAGATTCTGATCGAAAAGCAGTGAAATTGGCATATTAAATCATACAAACCTTCTGGCGGGCAAGTCCTCGAATTCTGCTCCATTTCTTTATCCACATACCAAACATGCATGAACTTACCAGAAAAAGTACCGAATTCTGCCAATTTTTCTGCCGGCATTATCCGCAAAGGCCTAGGTGAGACACTTTGGGGAAGTCCCGGCGGCATAGCGTGGTACTTGCACTAGCAACTCCTGCTGCATACATAGCGCGCCGTAAGCGCGTTCTTCTCTATACAATAGTCATGTACTTTTAAAGCGTCTACACATAATGATAATAATACTTCACAAGCGGTTCCGCTGCCTCACGCTTTATTCATAGTGTCAGTAAAAGCGGCTCCACTGATTCCAATCGCATACCTTTATAATGCCTCCTTGCTATGGCTAGGGCCCGGTGTAATATGCCCGAAACTTTGCCGAAAATGCTTTTGGGAAATTCTCGTAAACCTTGCCGAAAATGCTCCCAAACCTTGCCGAAAATGCTCGGAAAATGCTCACTTTTTTGTAATCCTCAGCACACGCCGTGAAAACCAGGGAGTCAGAAAATACCGGTATTTTACGACTCCCTGGTCAAAACCATAATTATTTTCAATTCATACACTACCCAACAAGAAGCTAACCCACGGGAAGTGACGTTCTTGTTTGGGAAGTTTTTCTTCTCTCAATTTTGATACACAACGGCCAAGTGCTCCGTTTCCCCCAAAATGCTGCATCACGAGCCCAAAGTGCTGGGTTCGCGGATTGTACCGAAAATGCTCAAAAAAATGCCGGCATATTACACGGGGGCCTAGCTATGGCCCAGTTTCTGATTCCGCTGCAACCAGGCGCTAGGCCTGAGGGAGCCGTAAAAAGAGTTTAAAAAAAGTTACGACTCCCTGATTACATAATGCAGTACGCTCGTACATGTACATGACATTGTACTGTAATCATTATTTTGCATGGTTACTTGGCATGTGCGCTACAGATGGCGGTTGGTCTTCCTGGACGAGTGGCAGCTGTTCTGCGCATTGCGGCGGGGTCGGCACAGGAACGAAGACTCGCAAATGCAACAACCCGCGTCCAGCATACGGAGGAGCAAACTGCATCGGTTTATCGACGACTACGTCCTTATGCATCGGCCCGTGCAACGGAGGTTGGTCGGCGTGGAGCAAATATTTACCATGCACACAAACGTGCGAGGGCGTACAAACTCGCTTTAGATTATGCATCAACCCTCCGCCCTCCGGCGGTGGAAAGAATTGTGTGGGCAGCTCCCTAGAGAGGAGAGACTGTGGCGTGACGCAGTGCCCCGCGGTCGACGGCAAATGGTCGACTTGGTCCGACTACAGCGCCTGCAGCGCAACGTGCGAGGGAACCCAAACTCGAACCAGATCTTGCACCGCACCGACGCCAGCTCACGGAGGCAAGAATTGCCCCGGCAGCGCGAAAAGTGAATCTCAAGACTGTGGCACGACGGACTGCCCGGTAGATGGCAAGTGGTCGAAGTGGACGGCATACAGCGCCTGCAGCGCCACTTGCGAAGGTACAAAAACTCGAACAAGATCTTGTACAGCTCCCACCCCAGCTCACGGAGGTAGCAATTGTTCTGGAAGCGCCAGTGAAACGGACGACTGTGGTACGTCCGATTGCCCAGTAGATGGCAAGTGGTCGACTTGGTCTGCCTACAGTGCCTGCAGTGCCACTTGCGAAGGAACGAAAACTCGGACGAGATCTTGCACAGCTCCCGCCCCAGCTCACGGAGGCAGCAAATGTTCAGGATCCTCAAGCGAATCAAAAGACTGTGGCACGATCGACTGCCCAGTGAATGGCAAGTGGTCGAAGTGGACGGCATACACCGCTTGCAGTGCCACTTGCGAAGGAACGAAAACTCGGACGAGATCGTGTACAGCTCCCGCCCCAGCTCACGGAGGCAGCAAATGTTCCGGAGCCTCAAGTGAGACGGAAGACTGTGGCACGACTGACTGTCCAGTGAATGGCAAGTGGTCGAAGTGGACGACATACAGCACCTGCAGTTCAACATGCGAAGGAACGAAAACTCGAACAAGATCGTGTACAGCTCCCGCCCCAGCTCACGGAGGCAGTAACTGCTCTGGAAGTTCCGGTGAAACAAAAAACTGCGGCGTATCCAGCTGTCCAGTTGATGGCAAATGGTCAGCGTGGTCTGTATATAGCACGTGCACGTCGAGTTGCCTAGGAAACCAAAGCCGCACGAGGTCGTGCACAGCGCCGTCTCCTGCCCATGGGGGCAAGAACTGCTCCGGAAGCTCAACCGCAGTGCAAGCATGCGGTGCAGTTCATTGTCCGGTTGACGGGAAATGGTCGACCTGGTCCAATTACAGCACCTGCAGCGCAACGTGCGTGGGAAGCCAAACGCGAACCAGATCCTGCACCGCCCCGATACCCGCTCACGGAGGCAAGAATTGCTCGGGCAGCGCAAGCGAAGCCCAGGACTGCGGCGCGTCCGACTGTCCCGTCGACGGCGAGTGGTCGCGATGGTCGGCGTTCCTGGCGTGCAGCGCCACGTGTAACGGAACCAGGACACGCACAAGACGCTGCACTTCGCCAGCACCGGCCCACGGCGGAAAGTCGTGCTCCGGTAGCGCTGGCGAGCGTCAGAACTGCGCACCGCTCGTCCATTGCCCGATCGACGGTCTCTGGTCGCCATGGTCACCAGCACGTGGTCCGTGCAGCGTGACATGCGGGGGACTGGGAACGCGCTACCGCAGCAGAACCTGCAGCAGTCCAGCTCCACAGTACGGTGGTCAAAACTGCACTGGAAACAGAACAATGGATGTCTCCTGTTCCTCCACAGAATGCCCAAAAGGTGAGAAGCAAGGAGTACATGTAGTAAAACTACTAAAATACCGACATTTTACTACTCCCTGGTGAGAAGTCTTCTGTAGAGTGCTGTCTCACATCAGTTGGTCATGTGACTAAATTTGTGCAGAAAGTGATCATGTCATGTGACTAATTTTGTGCAGAAAGTGATCATGTCATGTGACTAAATTTGTGCAAAAGTGATGTCGTGTGACTAAATTTGTGCAGAAAGTGATCATGTCATGTGACTAAATTTGTGCAGAAAGTGATCATATCATGTGGACAGTGGAACCAACATGACCGACATCATGTGACCCATAGATGCAGGATTTGAGTGGAGTTGGAACCAACATGGCTGTCCCACTGTATGGTCATGGGATAGATGTGACACCACTCTGTCCAGAGGAGTTCTTGCGAGATGCGTTCTCCTTGCCCGGTGCAGGATGAAGCAATCGGCACAGGCCACTGAGGGGAATTCTTCGACGTCGTCTCTGCGGCCTTTGGACAATCCTTAAACGAGAGAGCTTGGAAGCTCAGGGCCCTACGCTATGCTTTTTTGCCTTGATGACCTAGACAAAAAAAAGCATAGGGATGTTATAAATTCTTTAAAAAATTCCTTTTTTTTAAGACACAACCTGGGATTCGAACCCGCACTATCGCGCGTCCTGCATGCATCCCCCGATACACTTCGCATACATACTAATTCTTCCAAGTTGTTTCACATTGTGATCTTGCATTTGAAAGCCCTATTTGAATATGCATTGTGGCCAGCCGTCTTTGGTGGCACGGTACGGTAGGGGATAGGTACGGGACAGGTACGATCGAGGGTAATACGACACCGTCTCCCGTACCGTACCATCAAACACAGCTGGCCACATACAGCTGCCCGCAATATTCAAATAGGGCTTTCAAACGCAAGATAATAACGTAAAGCAACTTGGAAGAATGGGTATGAATGCGAAGTGTATGGGGGAATGCATGTAGGGCGATAGTGCGGGTTCGAATCCCAGGATATGCCTGAAAAAAAAGGAGAATTGAAAAATTTATAACATCCTATGCTTTTTTGCCGTCAGATATGGATAGCGCCAGGCGTGACACAAACAAACACACAAACAAACACCAAATTAAAGCTGTGTGGACCCTGGCTAGCGCCAGACGTTACTGAAGTAACGTCTTCTGCATAGCTACGGGAATAAAAATCAATCAATCAATCTAAACATACCGGTGGATAGCAGAAACATTTATTAGAATCCTGAAATGATCACATCACAAGCTCATGGTCACACATGTATAAGTTTATCCAGAAGCACCCCCCCCCCCCCCCATCCAGGCTGTCGATTTGGACAGGGTAGACTGAGGATGTATTAAACACCATACCAGCTCCTTTCATGGAGTGCCCATTTCCCAACTTGCTTCATTGCAGACTCGGAATGCAACAAAATGATGTGTATAATTATGCTGTTATAAGAACTGAGAGGATGAGCCAAGGAAACAAGTGTAACATGGAAAAATGTGGGCACAAGACAAGGTATGCGATCAAGTCCACCAACTAAACCAGATTTTGAACAGTCAGATGTGCACAATGTAGCACAGACCTAACTTGTGCCCACATTTTTCCATATACTGTTATGATTGGGATACTACAAGGGAAGTGTTTTGACACATCAAAAGGTTAATAGTAATGGCATTGCTCGCCACGCATGTTAACACCCTTCCAATCTGCTCAGCCATTCCTGATCCGAGGCTGCCTAACAGCTTACGGCACAAGAACCGTATTTCCGGAGTATACACCGCACTGGAGTATGCCCCCCCCCCCATATTTTGCCACGAAATACGGACATCTATCCTATTTATCGACGTCAATTTGATCATGGGATTATACACCGCATCACCCTTTTCTGGGGTGAACTTTAAGTGTTCAAAGTGCGGCTTATACTCCGGAAAATACGGTACCTGAACTCGGATGGTGAGCCAATATAGTTATGATAAAGAAAGGAAACTCGTAACGTTTTGTCCCTTTCCTTTCTTTATGGTACCTGAACTGTTGCCATGGTTACCAGGCAGACCCAGTGAGGTCAGACGGAATGATGCAGGGGTCTAATGGCTACAGTGACCATAACAGATTTTGTCCCCTTACTCCTTACTCTCTGTACGCGGGTGCGAGTGTGTATACAGTCAACTTCGCTTCTAACGACACTCGGCGGGGCATCAGAAAAGTGTCGTTATTCACAAAGTGTCGTTATACCCGAAGTCTCATTGTATGTATTACAGTGGGATGGGACTTTGCTCTGGGCATAGAAATTATGTCGTTATTCGCGAATTGTCGTTATATCCGCAGTCGTTATTAGCGAAGTTGACTGTATGTGTCTCTCTGTATGTGTGTGTGTGTATGTGTGTGTGTGTGTGTGTATGTGTGTGTGTGTGTGTGTGTGTACGTGCGTGTGTGTACGTGCGTACGTGTGCGTGCGTGCATGTGTGTGCGTGAATGTGTGTGTGTGTGCTCGTAATGCAGAAACAGAGCTGACCAGCCCACCAACATCATTGGCTGCTACAACCGACCGTAGCAGTTTGAAGAAGAAAGCAGTGAAAGTGCTGACCAGCAATGGTCTACCGGTCTCATCGTCTTCATTCCTCAGTAAGACGGCTAATTACCGGTGCACGGCACACTTGCATACTTTTCTTAACTTAAGGAATCACACTCGCAAGGGAGAGAAGGCAAAGGACAATTTTTAGTGATATAACGAACCATGAATTTTACGAACGAAGAATCTAGCGAACACCACTCAAGCGAATGAACGACGGTAAACCGGGAGCTTGTGGCCAGGCACAAGGGGTACATGGCTCCGCGGCACTTGACTGCATGCAGCGGAGCAGAGCGGTTCCGCTAACACTCACCATTCGTGGTACCGCCGCGGTCATGCTTGACGTTTTTCTATCTTGTTTTACCTGCCTGTGCGCGCAGGTTGCGGAATCAAAATTCAATTAAAAAAATTGGAATAGTATTATTCCCGCGTATAAAAAAATACTAAGCCGCGATCGCGGCTTGCAACTTTTGATCAAGCCGCAATGCGAAAGCTCGTGGTGAGCCACGACCTCGCTGCACCAGCTCGCGCCGCAGTCACTATGGTAATGATGACGTTTCCTCCCGCAAATGACGAGCAGCGGAGCCGCAGTGGAACCCAGCCCTATGCAGGGTCTGGTGGAGTGGTGGTCTGCCAGTGACGTACGAAGAACACATAGCGTCAAAAGTGGCACAAAGTACCAGTGGGTACCACGCTATGCAGTGGGAGTATCGGAGCATCCACGCTGAGGACGGCTTGTGATTGGCAGAACAGCCCCTCAGTACTGTACCCTGATGGGATGATTTTTTTAATACACAAAACAGCCGGATTCGCGGCCGCATCACCTGACGTGTTTAGGAACACACATCAAGCAAATACGTTCACATCGGCGGGCCACCACTTCGCCCATATATCCTCAGTGTCGAATGCAGACTTCACAAGTGAGCCCGGGGAGAGGGGATAAGTCTCTCAAGAAGCGGGCTTACACAAGAACCTAGATAAAATGTAGTGAGGTACATGATGCAATAAGAACTGTGCTGCTCAACGAAATCCGACTTGAAGTTCAAAATCTGCGCCGCACAGATTTCGGCTCCTGCGGCCCTGAGCTGTTCGCACTGGCAAATTGCACGCACTCATCATGCCCCCAGCATGTGCAAGTGACGTTTCCCGCACGGGACACGAAAGCGCGGGAACTGCGACCTCACAACGACAAACAAGTAGAAAAAGGGGGAAATATGAGTTTTCTCTGGACGGACGGCGCGCGCTGACCACGAGCGCAGACCAACTAGAGCACGTTCCATATGGTCGATGATGTAACCAAAATCATTTTGCGGCGCTGGTTATGGACTTCGGGTTGGAGTTCATTGAGCTCCACTGTACTGTCCCCACAGGATACCGCGATTCCGCGGACGCGGAATTTTCCGCGTTTTTGGTTATCATCCACGTTTTCGTAAGATTTCGCATAAATCCCGCGTTATTCATGAGAATGTACAAGAAAATAGTGCATGCTGTCGAAAATGTACTACAAAGTCGCATGGGTTCATGAGTTTGTACGACAAAGTTGTATTCTTGCATGAGACTGCACGCTAAAGTTGTACCAGTGACAGATAACTCGTGCATAATAGACACCCTTAGCAAAAAACGTTATGTTGTAACGGTATTATCGTAAGGGGGAAAATACTGTGATTTGGGTTCGACCTTTAGCAATATGCACGCTATTTTTAGTACGCTGCTGCCACGAGAATAGCTTTGATTTCGCGCGGTACAACCATTTTTGTCACCATATACGTGATACAAGGTGAAATGCGTACGGACTATGCAATATTTGGCCAAAACAAGTACCGTTCGTCACAACGATAAATCAGTCCCCATAACGTTTATACGCTGCAGCTTCAACGCTATTTGGGTGATCAAGGTACGAGTACCGTAAAAAATAGCGTTACCGTCGTTTGCTAAGGGTGTCTAATGACCGCATTAACCCGCATATTTGCCGCATAACCCCGCATATTTGCCGCACAACGGCCTGTTTTCGCCCGCATAATTATGCGCATAATTTTAGGATTTTGTCCTCGTTATTAGGGACGTTTAGCAATGCGAAAATTCGAACTTTTGGTGGTGGCGATATTTCGCGAAAATCTGTTTCGAAAAAGAAAACTTGTGAGGTTTAGCAATGCGAAACGACTTTTTCTCGAAGTTATTTGAATCTTATAGTACCGTACCGTATATGCAGCTCAGTCTCAAGCAGGGGGCTGTAAAATTACTACTCCCTGTAGTGGAATGCGTACCGAGAAAAGAGAAAGTTACTTTCGCAAATCACTGCAACTTCGCGTCCAAGTTTTCGAAGTTTCGACCTTTGTTTCTGTACTCATTCCCAGACTCGAATTTTCTTTCGAACTTTCGCGTTGCTAAACGTCCTTAGTCTGTGGGGACAGACTGTACTATATTTTCTCTAATAAAACCCAGATCTCCGATAATGACTCGGGTTGAGGCTGGTTGTTTGAAACAAGAAGTATTTTTTTCTCTAATAAAATCCCAGATCTCCGATAATGACTCGGGTTGAGGCCGGTTGTTTGTAACAATAAGCGCCCAGTCTCTAATACACTCTAGTAATAGCAGCACGGGCCACAATTAGAGTATGCAACCATACATTGACTACTCAGACTAATAGAGGGTGGTGGCGTTCCTACGGCGAATGCGGAAAACTCGGCTTCCCGAGCCGAGTCTCACGCGAACCGTGAAATCTGTTTATTAGTGCAGCATGCCAAGCACGTACTTGTGCGGAGGCGATTGCTTGCTTTCTGGTCCCTCTGCTATTGTACAGCATCAGTTTCGATAGCACCCGTTCGAGTTCAGGTTTTTAGAAAATCCTTGATATGGTCAGTTTGTGCCTTCTGATACTGGAAATGGCTTGATAGTAGAGCATTGAAAAAGGAATAGCACAGTCAGTAAGTAACGAAGGTAGAACTGTCACTGAAATAATATGAACCTCGTGCTCAGGCTCTTATTACAGTCCATTTCAAAACTATAGACGCGTACCTAGGCAAAAACCGTTATGCCAGCATCTATACCACATAAAATCTGTGATCACTTTGTGCATAAATTTTTCCAAATTGGGCGTCTGTTATCCAATCCTTTAGAAACTATATGAGAGTAATTGTGGAGCGATCCTGAGCAATATTCCGAAAACTATTCTCAAAAAGTTCCAGCCAAATTTGAAATATTTCAAAAACCCTACGCGTCTATAGTTTTGAAATGCACTGTAGAGAAAATCTGGTGTGCTGACTGCACTGCACAACGGCCTGGTAAAAGTTGTACGACCTTGGCAATGTCCTGATTGACTCGTGCCATACCACTCACAGGACTGCACTGCCATGCCATGCCATGCCACTGCACTGCTGTCTGCACCAGGGAGTAGTACAATACGGTCTGGTCTGCACTGCTCGGTGACCTTGAGTCTACACTGACCCCCTCCGGCTCTGGAGTGCAGTTACTTGTACAACTTAATTAAACCCCGTTTGACCCCAGCTAGCTGGCTATGCCGGGTCCGTACTACTCGACCTGCACTGCAATGCAGACCTGCACTGCAATGCAGACCTGCACTGCAATGCTGTGCTGTGCTGTGCTGTGCTGTGCTGTGCTGTCTGAAGGCAGTTATTCTACCTCTATACTACATGCATGTTGTGTGCATTGCAACAAGATTGCTGTCCTGTGCCAACACCAGTGTCCTGGACCCGGCGGACCTTTTGCCCCCATTTAAATTTCGCCTGCCAGCAATGCTGTAGCCCCAATGACCCGTACCCAGTTTTCCCCCCCTTTTCATTTGCCTGCAATGCCATGTAGTGCACCTTGCTGCTGGATCAGCAGGGTGTCATTTGCTTTTTATGCATTCACATCTACTAGATAGTCCACTAGGCACATTCACAGGGTTGAACTGCCTTTCAATTTGTTTTGTTCCCCTTGGAGGCTTACCTGTAGTGTTGTTGGCATCTCTACCTATAGACTGTTGAGATGAGCTGAGCCAGCTGTGTAGAATAGCAGGCAATCACAATACAAACTTAAGAGGCTCAATGAGCCCCAGAGAATGATATTCATTCCACTACCCCAGCTGGACTGCTCTGGTGGACTTCTGGCAGCGAGTGGCTAGCTCTGGGGAAGAGTCGAGACTGTTAGTATCCAGGCCTACAGAGGACCACTGAGGCTACACTGATATTGCACTGTCGGGCTGATCACTCCATGCCTTGCCAATACTGTAGCTTCCCATGGCCTGGATAAGCTCGCCTACTCATAAGCCCAGGTAAATAACAGTAGTAGTAATAAGAATACACACAGGTTTGCATGTACAGTTGTAGCAAGTGAAATCCGACACTTGGCATAAGGGACTGCACCATGCAGTCTGCAGCCCCTGCAGCCCTGCATACGTACAGTACATGTGTTACATACAACTAATGTTACGTTATCTGTCTGATGACAAAACTCGTACTCATCACAGTCAAGGTTCAAAAGGTGCTGGCAAAAATGAATGGGGATTGGATACCAACACTCCTTATGTGTACCATATTTGTGAACTGTGTGTATCTACGCTGTGACCTTTCGATCTGTTTGGGATGCATACGGCTCTATAGTACAAATTAGGTGCAGTGCATTACATCATTGATGTCCATTTGTGGCGCTGTCCCCTATGGCAAGTATCGGATTTCACTTGCCACAACTGTAGTTCAAGTAGCCCGAATAAAACAATAATTATGGGGTTAACGTATCTGTAAAAACTCGGATGTTAAGCCAACAGTCGGCATATGTACAGAGACATAACTAGTAACTTAAAGGTCCCTTTCTCTTTACAATTATTTTATTTATTATAACGTATCTGTCTGCAGGAATAAGTTCGGTGAAACATTCGAATGTGACGTACAATTGATAGTAGCTACTAGCTAGTCGTAGTCGGGGATAGCTACTAGCTAGTCGTAGTCGGGGATAGCTACTAGCTAGTCGTAGTCGGGGATAGCTACTAGCTAGTCGTAGTCGGGGATAGCTACTAGCTAGTCGTAGTCGGGGATAGCTGCATGAAATGTACTTTAAATGTTGATCTTTACTGGATTTCAACCTTCCCGTGTCCCCTGAACCTGTCCAGCTAGCCCAGGTCTGGGGTAAAGGGCGCACACAATTCGGCCGTAATAGCAGTGCGTGGCGTGCTCGTCTTCTTCTATAATATTATTAGGGCTGAAACGATCATTCAATAACTCCTAACGATCGACCAATATCATTAACGATCGATATATTGGTTTTATCGATTCTTGTCGGCTCTACCCGTGTACTTTGAACACCAGTTTATGAAGAAATTCCACGATACCTTTGCTAGGTTAGAAATGTGTGGCTCTGCACTGTTGACGTCTCGCTGGTTTATCAACATGAACTAGAAAATGTCATGTTGTTTCTAGAGCGAATAATCTTGTCATCACTCTCTGGCAACTGCTCTAATCTCCGACCTCTCCCACAAATGAAGCGAAAAGACAAAGTCTTCTCTCCCGATCTCTTCCAAAGCCACAAATCAGTTTTACTGCGCTTAGAAGTACATGATTGTACTCGTATTCACTATCGGATGGAGTGCAAGGGCTAGAATACTGTCACTGATATGCACACTTGAGAGGGACGAAAAGCGTTTCTTTTCGTCCCTCTCAAGTGTGTGTACTAGGCTCTGCACCTTGGTGTATTGAGCACTCTCACGAGCAACCACAACTCCCTCCGAGTTTGTCACTCATATACATGCATAAAAATCATTAGCACTCGTTTTGAACACTAACGATTATCGATTGCACTCTTAACAATCGATATGCGAGTTATCGGTATAATTGTTTCGGCCCTAAATATTATTATCTCGATTTTTTCGTATGTGCACGTTCGGGGCTCTTCTCCGCCTTTTCCTCGCGAATAAAAATTGAATACCTCGGATCAGCGTATAAGCCAATGTCCACATACAAGCTTGTCTAATGTCAATTTAAAAATCAGATAAGCCGCTGGACTTATCCACGGGATTCTACGGTTGTAGCCTGTGGTGCTTTTCGAGAGGAGCTTGAATTATTTCAAACGGTCGTAGCACTGAGGGGGGGGGGGGGGAGTAATATTCAAGAGGGGCTTCTAATCTAATGAGGACGGGATTTTTAATTCTTTTTCACAGCAAGGAAAGGTCAGCAGTGTTTGTTCTTCTTGCCTTGTTCTTTCCCTGCATCTCAGAGACACTGCATCGCTCAGGCGCAGCAGCGCAATCGCATCTAGCGTTCATCAGGTCGGTCAGCGCTAGCCACATCATCCTGCCCGATCGCTGGACTGGTGGGGCGGTTACATCACCATCGTCAACCTCACTGCTCGTGTTCGACCCGATCAGATCCAACTCATCAAAAGGTGGGGGAGGTAGCAGTGACTCTGTGTTTGGCCCTCTGCACACTGCCTACATAGAACATCCAGTACCAAATCATAAAAAAACCTGAAAGGCAACTTTTCCAAGCCTGCATTCAGACAGTTATTTTGCATGCAACACACAGCATTGCAACTTTTGACCTTGTGCAGTTGCGCAAGTGGCAGTGTGAGAGCAGGGAGCCGTACATAGTATTTGGTTTGTATGACTGTCTGGTGAAGGCAGGATACACGCAGAAAAGTTGCCTCGTAGCAAGTTTAGGGTCAGTACTTTGTCTGAAAGGATTGGGCAGCTTTTCAGGCTTCCGGCCAGATTCTTGTAGTTGTCTTTGAAACCTGTATTTACGTTGAGGGTGTTGTTAGATGATCCTTCTGCATTCAACGAATGCTTGTTCCTCGATCAACCTGCTCATTCTGTGAGACACGAGGGTTTACGCCACAACACACACACACACACACACACACACACACACACACACACACACGTCAGTAACAGGGGCGTCACACACGGTACAACCAGCACGACCATGGTCGTACCACTTTTCGTTCAGGATGGTCTGCCAAATTCATCTAAAAAAGCAATTATAAGAGCGCTAAAACATGCCCTGCTGGCCTAAAAATAAGATTTCCCCCGGGGGACACCCCCCCCCCCCCCCACACACACCCCCGGGACACCCCTGGTCGTACCACTCTCCACTGCCCTGTGTGCCGTCCCTGAGTAAGAAATCCATCTCGGACACGTCCACGTCGTCCACAGTGAGCACGTATGACGGCCGCGTAGTACTTGCAGAACCGCTTGAGTTCATCCCATGTACGGGCATGCACTGCTGGACGAGTTCATCAGCCAACTGGGTCGTGTATTCAGAGTTGATTTTCTGCTGTACGAATGCCCGACGCGTGTACAGTTACAACTTGTCTTGTTCCGTTAAAAAAATCCCCTTTAGGATTTAGTCACTCGTGTTTAGTAGCATAAAAACGAGCAGGACGAAGGCAGTGTCTAGAGTATCTACATGTGATGTACAGTGAAACCTGTCTCAGACGACCACTCTAGGGACCTTCAAAATATGGTCTCTGTTACCAGGTGGTCTCCATATCCAGGGTTATTTGACTGGAAATAGCATCCCTTGATCCTGGTTTCAGTGGTCTTCTTGGACAGGTGGTCGCCTTTTCCGAGTGGTTGCCTTTTCCGAGTGGTTGCCTTGACAGCTTTTACTCTATACTCTAGTTTCAGAAATTTTCGGTGCTCAATATTTTCGGTATGAGAGCAAAAAGCTAGGTTAGGTGAACAGAAATTTTCGGTGCTCAATATTTTCGGTATGAGAGCAAAAAGCTAGGTTAGGTGAACAGAAATTTTCGGTGCTCAATATTTTCTGTATGAGAGCAAAAAGCTAGGTTAGGTGAACAGAAATTTTCGGTGCCAATATTTTCGGTATGAGAGCAAAAAGCTAGGTTAGGTGAACAGAAATTTTCGGTGCCAATATTTTCGGTATGAGAGCAAAAAGCTAGGTTAGGTGAACAGAAATTTTCGGTGCTCAATATTCTCGGTATGAGAGCAAAAAGCTAGGTTAGGTGAACAGAAATTTTCAGTATGAGAGCAAAAAGCTAGGTTAGGTGAACAGAAATTTTCGGTGCTCAATATTTTCGGTATGAGAGCAAAAAGCTAGGTTAGGTGAACAGAAATTTTCGGTGCTCAATATTTTCGGTATGAGAGCAAAAAGCTAGGTTAGGTGAACAGAAATTTTCGGTGCTCAATCTTCTCGGTATGAGAGCAAAAAGCTAGGTTAGGAACAGAAATTTTCGGTGCTCAATATTCTCGGTATGAGAGCAAAAAGCTAGGTTAGGTGAACAGAAATTTTCGGTGCTCAATATTCTCGGTATGAGAGCAAAAAGCTAGGTTAGGTGAACAGAAATTTTCGGTGCTCAATATTCTCGGTATGAGAGCAAAAAGCTAGGTTAGGTGAACAGAAATTTTCGGTGCTCAATATTTTCGATATGAGAGCAAAAAGCTAGGTTAGGTGAACAGAAATTTTCGGTGCTCAATATTCTCCGTATGAGAGCAAAAAGCTAGGTTAGGTGAACAGAAATTTTCGGTGCTCAATATTCTCGGTATGAGAGCAAAAAGCTAGGTTAGGTGAACAGAAATTTTCGGTGCTCAATATTTTTGGTATGAGAGGAAAAAGCTAGGTTAGGTGAACAGAAATTTTCGGTGCTCAATATTCTCGGTATGAGAGCAAAAAGCTAGGTTAGGTGAACAGAAATTTTTGGTGCTCAATCTTCTCGGTATGAGAGCAGAAAGCTAGGTTAGGTGAACAGAAATTTTCGGTGCTCAATCTTCTCGGTATGAGAGCAAAAAGCTAGGTTAGGTGAACAGAAATTTTCGGTACAGAGAAGCAGTTCCCTATTGGATTATGTGTGTTAGTGTTTGTTCGGTGTATTGAAATTTTAGGTATGAAGCAGATGCACCGAAAGTACCGAAAATAAAAGTACACCGAATATTTGTGAAACTACAGCACTCTACGTAACATTGCTGGCCACACTTTACTGGCATTCTCTCAAGTTCCTATTTCTTCTGCCCCGTTTCTGTTGCCGTCGTGCTCTTGTAGATTCCGGCGCAGCTTCTTCAGCCATGGCGATGGCACACGTCGTTGCTATCGCCATTGGCTCGCTCGTGTTTGGCGTACTGCTGATCATTATATCCCGCCGTCGCTCAAAGCCGCACAGCCCGACAGACAACAGTGGTAGCGAGGAATACTCAATGCCCAGCATCGACCGCCAGCACAATGCCGGTGTCGTGATGGCCAACAACACGGCGTATGGCTGTAGCTCCGACCTTGCCGTGTCGGCTAATGAAGGCAGCCAGGACAGCGTTGCCACGACAAACATGGAGATCGCTACACACACGCGTGATGACCTCACGGAGAGGGGATACGAGACCTATGCGAGCATGTCGGATCTTGTCGCCGGCACGCTTGACGAGAGTGACCGGTGTGGCAGCGGTGCGAATGCAACACCCGCCGACAACACGTATGCCATGACGCATCACAACAGCACTGACCAACACAGTGATGGAGTCAGCATCGACGCCTATAGCTGCAGCCAAGATAGCGCTACTGGAAGTGATGAGAGGCCACCGGTCGCATGTGAACGAGAGGATTCGGATGAGAGTCGACACGACGTGTACGCGTGCATTTCAAGAGTGGACGTGCATAGCAAAACCTGTCACGGGAGAAGCAACGAGAACGCCATGCATCAGAACGATGCGTACGGCTGCGTGCCTGCCTGCGACAGCAACGCAGCTCCCAGGCCGGACGCCACACCAAGTCCTGAAGCACATAGCTACGATCAGAATTGCGTCAGGGCGAACGATGAAACCTCCGCTGGCCAACGAGATGACCGCCACGCGAATGACAATGTGACATACGCATGCGTTCCACACTCGGCCATGCTCCAAGGTGGAAACTGCAGCAGGGGTAACGAGATGGAGACGCAGTACAACGTCACCTACGGCTATTGGAAAGACTCTTCCGCGTCCAGTAGTTCACGTCCAGCTAGGCAAAAGATGGATTCCGGCGGCAATGACAATGACGTATACACGTCTGTTGCTGGTGCGGCCGCATTCAACACACACGGCTATCGGAAAGACTCTTCCGCGTCCAGTAGTTCACGCCTAGCCTGCCAACAGACGGATATCGGCAGCAGCGACAATGACGTATACACGTCCGTTGCTGGCGCGGCCGCATTCGACACCGATGACCACTGCAATGGTAGCAACTTGGGCATGAGTGACAATGTCGCGTATGGTGATCGGAGAGACTCTTCCATGTCCAGTAGTGCATATTTCACCCTCGAAAAGACGGATTCCTGCGACAACCATGACGATGTATACACGTCTGTTGCTGATGCGGCCGCCGCATTCGACAACGACGACCACTGCAACGGTGCCGAGATTGATATGCACGACAATGACGCATACGCCTGTGCGTCGGCGGCGGCCTCGAGCTGCAACAACGACTCCCTCGCACTCACGGCTGTGCCGCACACCGGCGTTACCCAGGATGGTGGGGCCAGGTTGCACGACGGGACTCCCGCCAGGCGACCAAACAAGTCTGCGGCGAACGATTACCAAATGTGCAGTCGTAATCCTGGCTCGGCTGCCTTCGGAGATGGCAATCGCGGCGGAGACAACGGGACCGAAATGCATGACAACGGTGCGTGCAGTTTGGGACAAGCCTCTGCTGATTCAAGTGCCCAAGTCCGTACTTGCCAACAGAGTGATTCGGGCGGGGACACGCATGACATCTACGACTGTGTCTCCGACTCAGCGAGGCTCCATGCTCGCACTCGCACCGGGAGAGATGACGAGATCGACATGCACAGAAATGACGCGTACGGCCTCACGCCTGCCAGCAACTGCGGCCAAAACTCACCCGCAACGAATGCCGAAGAAGCCCTTACCTGCACGCACCATGATGGAAAGCCGAGTGTGGGGATTCCGACGTGCCAGCAAGATGGGGCCACCAGTGGTTGTAGCGGCGAGACTTACGAATCCATTCCCCATCCGACCATGGTCGGACAGGGCAACAGCATTGGCGAAGTGGATGACATCATCATGCACGACAACGATGCATACGACTGTTGCCATGGCAGCATTGGCGAAGTGGATGACATCATCATGCACAGCAACGATGCATACGACCGTTGCCAGCGCAACTTTACTGCATCATCACATGATGTCGTTCGCATCGGCATCGGCGAAGGACAAGGTGCTACCAGGAAAGATGCTGCTGAGAATGATGATGCCGTCGAGAACGGAACCGAAGTCTATGCGTGCGTCCCTGATTCGCCAGCACCCACGCACAGTGGAGGTGATCACCATACAGGAGGCATGGGCATAGTCCTGAGCAGCAACGAGGCGTACGCCTGTGGTATATCGGTTGGCAACAGTGCACACGAAGAGGATTATTACGCCGCTGCTTCATTTTAACACCACGCTACACGCCTTGCATGGAGAAGCTGCCTGCTGGCAATGCAGCGGAGTCTGCGCTTCATGGCGAATTAGCGGACTTTGACTGGCCAATGAATGCAATCAGCTGGAACACAGTCAATATGCCAACCCGACAGACACGCATGAATGCACCCCTCACACGAGAATCTGCCAGAACACAGAATATTATGTATACTAGTATAATAATCCCAGCTCAATGCTCAAAATTAATCATCAGGAGTTGCATTGAAGCTCTGCACGTCTTAACACGCGCATTGAAGCTCTGCATGTCGTGCATGGAGCACTTTGATCCGCCATCTTTTAAAAGTTCTTCTGTGAATGCACCACTCCACAGCTTCGGACTTGACATTACGCCTCTAAAACGTAAGATAACAATCATGTTCTACATGTATGTGCAGCGTTGCTGTCTCCCATTTCTAGCCAGGAAAAATTACGACTCCCTGTGTCTAGCTATCTCGCAATCACTTGCACTGCCGTGTTACTGACTTTCAACCAGGGAGTCGTAAAAATACCACTCCCTGCTTTCAACCAAGTTATATTTTAAATTTTGACTTGATATCACAGCACATTTCCTGAAGATGAGCCTTGCCGCATGCCCGTGATTCCGGATGATTAAAAAAAAATCTTTTTCATTGATTGGTGTAGCCCAGAGCTGACCGCTTGAAGAGTGCTGTGAGGATGTGCGGTTATAAAGGATGCCTCAGGGAGTCGTAAAATTCTGCGACTCGATCGCTGATCGAGAAGAGTGTAACAGCAGCAGGGAGCACTACACCAGGGAGTCGTAAAATACCGGTATTTTACGACTCCCTGCCCTACACATACGTATGTGTAGGGCTCCCTGCTGTACGGTGTACTGGTGCCTTTGCTTGCGACTGAACCTGTTCTGGATCGGCCAGCACATGTTGTGCATGCTCCAACCTGGAACCCGTAGCAGCCTGAGCAGCTCAGTTTTTCCACGGTGAAACCTGGCGGGAGCATCGATTTGGGTCCAAAATTATCGCTCTTGGGTTGCATTTTACCAGGGAGTAGTAAAATACCGGTAGTTTACGACTCGATGTATTTATTGCACTCACTGTATACCGTACAAAGTAACTTGTAAATTTCGTTGAATTCTATCAAGCTTGGCACAAGCTTGGCGCAATTTCCCCATCAAAATGTTATGTATTCTGTGTTTCTGGAGTACTGTTTGGTTGGTTTGATGCTGCTCCTTGTACACGAGCTGTTCGATCCTGTTCTAGATCGCACCAATCAAACGCGCCACATGAGTGATTCAGGGAAGCAGGCAAACTTTGAAGTAGAAAAAATATTCCAAAAATCTATGGGCTTCAAAATGGCGATAGAAGGTCAGGGTAAATATTTTGTGAGAAGGGCACATCTTTTTCTAGTATGGAAGAAAGACAGCCGGTGCTGAAGCATGAAAATGACAAGCGTGCAAAGAAATAATAGCAAAGAAATTTAGGGGGGGGGAGGGGGGCATCGAATCCTAGTAATAAGCAGTGAAAAGGACAGGGATAGACTGACAAATTGTGCACAGCTACAAAAAACGTATGTTTCGTGGCTTTTTTCCACCACACCAAATGCATTTAGTCAGCAGGCGATGGTACATCGAAACCTAGGAAGTAAACGTACGAAAATGCCAGACAAGGACTAGGAGATATGAACGAGCAGATCACGGCACATTCGTACGACGGGCTCGTGCAGAATGGATGATCACTTCTCACCACCTATGCACCAGCTATGTTGACCCCCTGACAAATGTGGGAGGGGAATGCCACCTTAAACATCACCCATAAACCAGAACTAAGGTTCCAGGCGGTGCAATGGAGTCTGCTGACCATGGATGCAGGGGGTGCAGAACGAATGATATCTTCTCCCCACCACCACCACCACCACCACACCTGTCCACTACGAAGAAAAAGGGCTCCCTGCTGTACAGTGTACTGGTGCCTTTGCTTGCGACTGAACCTGTTCTGGATCGGCCAGCACACGTTGTGCGTGCTCCAACCTGGAACCCGTAGCAGCCTGAGCAGCTCAGTTTTTCCACGGTGAAACCTGGCAGGAGCATCGATTTGGGTCCAAAATTATCGCTCTTGGGTTGCATTTTACCAGGGAGTAGTAAAATACCGGTAGTTTACGACTCGATGTATTTATTGCACTCACTGTATACCGTACAAAGTAACTTGTAAATTTCGTTGAATTCTATCAAGCTTGGCACAAGCTTGGCGCAATTTCCCCATCAAAATGTTATGTATTCTGTGTTTCTGGAGTATTGTTTGGTTGGTTTGATGCTGCTCCTTGTACACGAGCTGTTCGATCCTGTTCTAGATCGCACCAATCAAACGCGCCACATGAGTGATTCAGGGAAGCAGGCAAACTTTGAAGTAGAAAAAATATTCCAAAAATCTATGGGCTTCAAAATGGCGATAGAAGGTCAGGGTAAATATTTTGTGAGAAGGGCACATCTTTTTCTAGTATGGAAGAAAGACAGCCGGTGCTGAAGCATGAAAATGACAAGCGTGCAAAGAAATAAAAGCAAAGAAATTTAGGGGGGGGGGGGGGGGGGCATCGAATCCTAGTAATAAGCAGTGAAAAGGACAGGGATAGACTGACAAATTGTGCACAGCTACAAAAAACGTATGTTTCGTGGCTTTTTTCCACCACACCAAATGCATTTAGTCAGCAGGCGATGGTACATCGAAACCTAGGAAGTAAACGTACGAAAATGCCAGACAAGGACTAGGAGATATGAACGAGCAGATCACGGCACATTCGTACGACGGGCTCGTGCAGAATGGATGATCACTTCTCACCACCTATGCACCAGCTATGTTGACCCCCTGACAAATGTGGGAGGGGAATGCCACCTTAAACATCACCCATAAACCAGAACTAAGGTTCCAGGCGGTGCAATGGAGTCTGCTGACCATGGATGCAGGGGGTGCAGAACGAATGATATCTTCTCCCCACCACCACCACCACCACCACACCTGTCCACTACGAAGAAAAAGGGCTCCCTGCTGTACAGTGTACTGGTGCCTTTGCTTGCGACTGAACCTGTTCTGGATCGGCCAGCACACGTTGTGCGTGCTCCAACCTGGAACCCGTAGCAGCCTGAGCAGCTCAGTTTTTCCACGGTGAAACCTGGCAGGAGCATCGATTTGGGTCCAAAATTATCGCTCTTGGGTTGCATTTTACCAGGGAGTAGTAAAATACCGGTAGTTTACGACTCGATGTATTTATTGCACTCACTGTATACCGTACAAAGTAACTTGTAAATTTCGTTGAATTCTATCAAGCTTGGCACAAGCTTGGCGCAATTTCCCCATCAAAATGTTATGTATTCTGTGTTTCTGGAGTATTGTTTGGTTGGTTTGATGCTGCTCCTTGTACACGAGCTGTTCGATCCTGTTCTAGATCGCACCAATCAAACGCGCCACATGAGTGATTCAGGGAAGCAGGCAAACTTTGAAGTAGAAAAAATATTCCAAAAATCTATGGGCTTCAAAATGGCGATAGAAGGTCAGGGTAAATATTTTGTGAGAAGGGCACATCTTTTTCTAGTATGGAAGAAAGACAGCCGGTGCTGAAGCATGAAAATGACAAGCGTGCAAAGAAATAAAAGCAAAGAAATTTAGGGGGGGGGGGGGGGGGCATCGAATCCTAGTAATAAGCAGTGAAAAGGACAGGGATAGACTGACAAATTGTGCACAGCTACAAAAAACGTATGTTTCGTGGCTTTTTTCCACCACACCAAATGCATTTAGTCAGCAGGCGATGGTACATCGAAACCTAGGAAGTAAACGTACGAAAATGCCAGACAAGGACTAGGAGATATGAACGAGCAGATCACGGCACATTCGTACGACGGGCTCGTGCAGAATGGATGATCACTTCTCACCACCTATGCACCAGCTATGTTGACCCCCTGACAAATGTGGGAGGGGAATGCCACCTTAAACATCACCCATAAACCAGAACTAAGGTTCCAGGCGGTGCAATGGAGTCTGCTGACCATGGATGCAGGGGGTGCAGAACGAATGATATCTTCTCCCCACCACCACCACCACCACACCTGTCCACTACGAAGAAAAAGAACGAAAATGTCAGACAAGGACTGGGAGGTATGAACCATGAGCCAGCAGACCACGGTGCACTCGCACAGCGCATTCGCACAGCGCACTCGTGCAGACCGGATGATCACTTCTCCCCACCACCACTACCAGCACTACCAGCACTACCAGCACCTGACCACCAGCTACTGACCATGGATAGAGAAGCGTCAAACGTGGCCAGCGCACCGGCCGTGTTGCGCAGCGACATCAGCACCGAGCCAGCCTCGACGGGACGGTCGGCATCGCACAGCTCCTTAGCAACGGCGTCGTCATCCGTTGCCACGGCAGTGCTCCCGCCGCTGGGGTCCGCTTGCCCGTTGTCGGTGGAGTCTTGCACAGCATTCAGCCGGGCCATGTGCCGTACGTGAGTGGCCCAGAACGGGGTGGCTGCAACACCGGCCGCCATCTGATGAGAAATGATTAGTTCCGACAAGCTGGTATCATCCTCGGCAATATCCAGCTAGAAAGAGAGAGAGAGAGAGAAGCGAACAGCCCACAAGCATAAATGCATACGTAATACACACAACGATATGATCTGCGCAGCCATCATGTACATGTATATAGTCGTCCCTCTCTAATCCGGCACCTTTTGCAACGGTATTTTCTGCTGGATAAACAAGGGTGCTGGATTATCAAATCCTGCCCTCTAACCCGGCCCACCGTTAGCATACATGTTTGTGTCATACGTCAAAACGTAGGGATTTTCTGTGTCAATCCAAGTACTTTGTGGAAAGCATGTCTGTGACATGCACTTGGGAATATCCTATGCACTGGCATAGGATATTCCCAAGTGTATGTTACATGTGTTGTGTATGTTACATGTGTTGTGTATGTTACAATGCTCCCTGACAGTATGCGATGTACAACTGCTGGATTCGAAAATCGAATTATGTACAGTTTGAGTGATTTGCTGCAGAAAATCGCTGCTGGAGGCGGAATTCAAGTGCCGCATTAAAGCGTAGAAAATGAACTCAAAAAATCTGTTTTGCCAGAATGTGTGCTGGTTTGCAAGGGTGCTGGATAAACAAGTGGCGGATTAGAGAGGGACGACTGTATACACTTAGACAAAGTGTCCTAGGTCCTTGTTGCAAAATAGTGCTCAATACCCGGACACGGACAGAGTGTACCACACAAGGCAGAACAACAGAGACCAATATATTTCTCGTGACTCGGAGAAAGGTAGTGGTCTGTGTTGTTCTGCCTTGTGTGGTACACATACAGTAAAACTGTCAAGGCGACCACCTGTCCAAGAAGACCGCTGCAGCCAGGACCCAGGGATGCTATTTCCAGTCAAATGACCGTGGATAAGGAGACTACCTGGTAACAGAGACCACGTTGTGAAGGTCCCGTGAGCGGTCGTCTTACACAGGTTTCACTGTATCTACAGTGGAGCGGTTTGTTTGCGCTAAGAATGCTTTCTTGTGATAATCTTCAGCTAGAGTACGCGACTGAATGGTAGACAAAGATGAACATGATGACCGTGCACATTATAGTAGCAAGAGTGCATAAACAAGATTATCACTCTCTTATTATTGACCCCCACAGAAACTTGTGATCTCTAAGCGGTCAAATATCAGCATATATTGACCGCTTATATTGACCACTTATTATTGACCACTTAGCCCGAGGACTTAGAACTTTTTCCTCAACTTAGAAAAAAATCAGAACTGAAAGAAGAAAAATCTGAAGCCAAATGCTGGGATTTGAACCCAAACTGTCAGATTCTCAGTCAAAGGACTTGGGGAACATACTACAAGAGACAACTGAAAACTTTGGTTTACACAGTAGTAATGTCCAATGTAAACGGCATATGTACATACTATTATACTATTACAATAGTATTCCTTTCTTCCTATAGCAAAGCAAAAACAGTTTTAGGTATGCTATGTTGTGATAAATCTATTATTGCCCTCATAATCGGTCAATATATGAAATATATTGACCTCTTTAATCGTGCAATAATAGATACGTATGCAACTGTGGTTATGGGTCAGTGCGCGGCGCGTTGCCTTCATTACGTAACTTGCCTTCATCACGCTCTGAAAGCATGCATTCAAACTCTCAATTTCTCGCACGAGCCCATCCGTTTTTGCTCGATTCGTTCCAGTACCTACACAATCTCTGAATTCTGGCGCGTGAACTCCAGTTCCGTACGAAAGTTCATTTCAAACTGGAGGGAAAGTGCGGTGTTTGATTTTCCGCAGTGCGCGGACTGCAGCTGAATGATGTAATGAAGGCAGCGCGCCGGGCATCTGGCCCATAGAAAAGAGATCACAGTTGAATACTCTTGTTTATGGACTCTTGATAGTAGTCATATGCGTTTATAAATTATTGTCTCCTGATCGAATTTTCATGTACACAGTACAACACAATTCAGGGGCATCACACACAGTACAATACAATTCAGGGGCATCACACACGGTACGACAAGTACGACCATGCATCGACGGTCCGCACAATTCATCCAAAAGAGCAATAAAAGAGCGTCAAAACGTGCCCTGTTGTCCGAAAAATCCGTACCACTCCTCACTGCCCCGTGTTGCCCCTGCAATTGATCTCAGCAACAACAATTTTGTGTGTGTGTGTGTGTGTGTGACATCCACACCGTCTGCCAGACCCTGCTGTGAACGTTAGGACCTCGCCGCTAACCTGTTCGTGCTCAGAAAGCAGTTGAATTGCTCGCGCTCTGAGCTGCTCGTGACCAGGAATGATGCAATACTTGATAGCGGACACTGTCTGACCAGCTGACAACAGCATGTCAACGACAACATCATCGTCCTACAGCAATGACATCATCGAAAAATCACAGTGCAGAGCAAGCACAGAGATTAGCAAGTTAGGATACGAGAAAGCAGAAATTACCCATTGGCATTGAGAATTTAAAAGACAACTTCCACAGATGTAAACTTTTCTAATTGTCCGCAAACAGATGTGCCGGGTGAAATCAGACCCAAAGTGCATATCTGGCGGCCTGCATTTGCAGAGGCAGTGTGGGGCCTCTCTTTCTCCTGAAAGCCACATGAGAGAGCGCATGTGTACATGAGTCGGTGGTGAGCAAGTCAAAAAGAGGCAGTATGGTTTAGGAAAAGCTGGTGCTACCGAGAGGAGGCGGTGGAGAAAGCCATGCAAAGCCTAGTACGATCAGGCCTGCAAAAGTGGCTACACAGCAGCAATGATCGGGCACTGTCCTCTTTACAGCTTCCGCTGACTAACTACTCTTCGGAAAATTGTGTGTTTAGTTTACTCAGCACACCAAGCAGCCCTCGTGGTAGAACCTCATAGTCTGCACATCATCTGCACATTAGCATCATGGCGTTCAGGTAGCCATAAAACTAGGATAGAATATTCGTTGCAGCCCGACTTAAAACTCAAGAAAAGATAAGGGGCTTCGCAGTCACAGACTTTTCCCGTCGCCAATGTCCAACAACTCACCCGTACGCCTTCTCTACACCGCCTAATGATTGTTTTCTCCCTGGGAGAAGACTACACTGACCTTGAGAGTCTGTTGCTGACAAGACACGGCTGCCTGTCGGTGCTGCAGTACACATTCAGCTGACAACTGGACAGTAGTTCTGCTGCTGCTGCTGCTGCTGCTGTTGTCCTCCTTGCTACTGTCAGTGCTTGATAGCATTCTCAGGAAGAGCACACTCCATGCACTACGACCATCAGTACTGTAACAAAACAACAGAGAGATCAATAGGAGTTCCTTCTTGCCTGGGGAAGCTGTCCTTCTCTTGTTGACAGATTCTTCATAGAACTGATTACTGTGAACTGCTTTTAAACTGTTTGCGACGTATTTAAAATGTTTCCTAATTTTGCGAGAAGAGCATAAAGCAAATATTAACCATCGTGAAATCAAACTTCAACAGTGGGTGTGTATGTGTGGCCATAGTGCTCCAATAACATTTGCCATCGTACACTCGCTGGTTCTGAGAGATCGTACAAAATTAGTGACGCAAACATTGGGCGGTTTACAGTACAGCGGAAAATTGCATCATGCCGTCAATCTCTCAGCCAGCCAGCCAGCCGCCAGGGAAGGCAGGCTCGCTTGGAGCAGACCTACAGAGAATCTGTGTGTGTGTGTGTGGGATATGCATTGTACATGGGGTGCACCAACATGCTTGTGCATATGCACGTTTGCGCGTGCACCCCCCCCCCCCCCTCCCCCACCCCCCACACGCATACCCTCACTCACGCACGCACACGCACACGCACACGCACACACAGAAAAGGAACACATTGATCCTACCATGCTGGAAGCGGAGGCCACATGTTGATAAGCTCAGCAACACCAGAAAGACAGGATGGGTTCTCCTCGCAGAGTGACAGCAGGCGCTCAAACAACTCCAGACGCTTGGCTGAATCGGCGACTTCACTAGCTTCGATCTACGGTAAACAAACACGTATGAACAACAGACCGTGTCCAATTACAACGCGCATTTCTTACAATGCGAGTCAGAAAATACAAAATGAAATCACCTCACTTCTACGTGCATATGCAAACGTACTAGGGAAATAACAGATTTGGTACTGATCGTCCATTCGGTCTAAACTGGAGCAACAGCCTATGGCTCGTACTGAACCAGTGCAGATGGACACGGCATCATTTGTATGTACAGTAAAACCAAGAGTACATAACCCCCCAGAGTGTGCAACGCCTAATCCAGCTCTGCATAGGGTCTTGGTCGAGCGGAATCGGATCTTTGCGTCATAATACCGTACGCATCTGAGTGGAACCCGGGGAGTCGCGGGTACTCTTGGATCAAAAACAATGGTGCCCTGCCTCGAGACCGGCCTTGCGCTGGTGTGGAGTGTACGCATGACATCAGAAGATCCGATTCCGCTCGACCAAGACCCTATGCAGAGCTGGATCGGCGTTGCACACTCTGGGGGGTTATGTACTCTTGGTAAAACTGGTAACTAAAGACCACCGTGACTAGCGACCAGCCTGGTACTACCGCCAACCACTTCGCCAGGCACGGACGGTCTCACATTCACATTATGGTTGAGCGGTGCAAACCTCTAACTAAGGACCACCTGCCCCTAAAGACCTCTTTCTCTGGCCCCAAAGGGGTGGTCGTTAGTCACAGATTTTACTGCATGTTCCAGCAGTCCAGCAAGACAAAGACAAAGACAAAGACAATTAGTCAGTTCGATGAGCAAGGCAAGCCTCACCTCCAGCTCAAAGATCTGTTTGACGGTAGCGGCGGTGTTGCAGAACAGCAGCAGTGCCTCGTCCTCCTCGGACAAGTGGAATGACTGAAAACACACACACATACACATACACACACACACACATGCAGCAGCGATACAGACTGTTGAATAGGCAGATCGGAAAGTTGGTAGGGTAATTTAGCAGGGCGATCATTTTTTTCTTGAGAGAGAGAGGGAGAGAGAGAGAGACAGAGAGAGACATGGGGGGGGGGGGGTTGAGTGAACACTTGGGCAAGGAAGCGAGTTAATAAACATGTTGGAAAGAGAAAGATGGCAAGAGAGCAAGGAATGTATTAAACACTTGCATACTGACAGGTTGCTTAGCAGCAACGGCAGCAATTGCATCAGCAGCAGTAGCAGTAGCAGTAGCAGCAGCAGTAGCAGTAGCAGCAGCAGTAGCAGTAGCAGTAGCAGTAGCAGTAGCAGTAGCAGTAGCAGCAGCAGTAGCAGTAGCAGTAGTAGTAGCAGTAGCAGTAGCAGTAGCAGTAGCAGTAGCAGCAGCAGTAGCAGTAGCAGTAGTAGTAGCAGTAGCAGTAGCAGTAGCAGTAGCAGTAGCAGTAGCAGTAGCAGTAGCAGTAGTAGTAGCAGTAGCAGTAGCAGTAGCAGTAGCAGTAGCAGTAGCAGCAGCAGTAGCAGTAGCAGTAGTAGTAGCAGTAGCAGTAGCAGTAGCAGTAGCAGTAGCAGTAGCAGTAGCAGTAGCAGTAGCAGTAGCAGTAGCAGTAGCAGTAGCAGTAGCAGTAGCAGTAGCAGTAGCAGTAGTAGTAGCAGTAGCAGTAGCAGTAGCAGTAGCAGTAGCAGTAGTAGTAGCAGTAGCAGCATGCTGAAGTACAATCTTCACTGGCACCATACCTGCTGCAGCAATCGCAGTACGGAGAGTCTCGACGACATCTGGATATTGCTCTGGGCGCAGAACGCACGCAACAACTCCACAATGTCACTGCTGCGCAACGACTGGCCACTACACACGCAAACAAAAGAGAAAAGAGGAAAAAAGCAAGCACAAAACACGGCCAAATCAACAGCAGGTAGGAGTTAGCTGTCAGAGAGGCCAAGAGGTTGCAGGTCACATGCCAGCACGGTGAGTGCCCTGAGCGGCGCACACTCTCTTACAGCAATCCACTGGAAGTACTACTACAGCCGTGGCCACAGAAATCCGACCCGCGAGTCAAAAGCAGTGTCGCGTTTCCATTTCAATTACATCATGCACGCTCCCAAAAAACCGATCTGAGTGCCGCAGCGGCCGCATGCGCTGCTTTCGGCACGCGAGTCGGATTTCTTTGGTCACAACTGTACTTACCCCGACTCCAAGTATGTGCTGACTGAGGAGAGCGAGCTGGACAGTCTGGAAAACTCATCCTCACCATTGCTGTAGTTGCAGCACACGCAGGAAACACAGCAGCAAACAACACAGTGAGAAGTGGATAGAGAGCGGGCAGGTAATTGCACGGGTGGTCGCCCGCGAACGTGCTTCCTCGTGGAGGCATGGTGAGTCTGCATGCGAGTATGCACTTGCACACAGGCATGACCTAAGCCATCCAGAGTCTGGACAATTCAGAGTTTTATATTATTATTATTATTATTTTCTTTACAAAGAACACAAACCCGGCTCAAGACAAATTAATAACAAGGAAGATAACACGATTGCAGGGAGAACGAAGATAGTGGTAGTCGTTGGGCGGTTCAAAGACTAATTGAGTCAGATTTCCAGCATTTCCAGCCCAAAGAAGACAAAGCAAATAGTTAGTTTTCGTGAATTTCTTTCTCTTGCGCCGCCAACGCATCGGGATATCACCTCGACCGCGACGAGATCAGATGCAAAAAAGGACTGGCGTGCCACTCAATTCAACGCCTACAAAATACAGTAGAACCCTGTCAAGGCGACCACTCGGATAAGGCAACCACCTGTCCTAGTACAAGACCACAGAAACCAGGAGCAAGGGACGCTATATCCAGTCAAATGACACTGGATTAGGAGGCCACCTGCACATTTTGAAGGTCCCTTGAGCGGTCGTCTTGGACATGTTTCACTGTATGTCGGTTACATGACTTCTGTGGTCTGTACGACCACCAGCACAACCAATACACGTTGGCGTCGACACTGGTCGCACCCCATCTACGCAAAACGCCTTACCCAATACTGTCCAGAGCTTGGCTGATCAAGTCGCGCACCATGCGTGAGAGATGTGTGCCATGCGGGCAGACCGTGCTGGCCAACGCGAGAATGTCGTCCACCAGGCGCAGCGAGCAACCGCTGCTGGTTATCAGGTCCGTGCACAGGGACACCACCTGGAACAACACAAAAAAAAGGCAAATACATTTCAAACACGGGTACGCGCAGAGCAGCATTTGGCCTTATGCTGTGCGGCAACGTGTTGAGGTTGGCTGGAGAGCTCAGTTATTATGGAGGGGTGGTTGAGCGGAGTTTTTTTAAATAATATGTGAAAGATCGCTTACAATATGCATTGACACAATAAGTCTAATATTACTGTGCCACACATGGTTCCGCTGCTGTTTAACAATAGAGAAAAAGCCCAAACGCTACGGCTGCTCAAACTTGGTTTGATACATACCGTACACGTGGGCGGTGTGAGAATGCCCCCCCCCCCCCCCCCCCCTCCCCCTCCCCACACACACACACCACACACACACCCAATCATTTCAGACTGACCTGCTCCGGCTGTGCAGGTGTAGTGCTGTATCGTCGGTGATAGTCGGTGGACGAGTGCTGCATTGAGCGAGTAGGGAAAGAAGAACAACAAAACAAAAACCGGTATTCACACAACAACGGTGTAAAGACAAGTTAGAAATATTCCACGGCCGTTGACAACCAGGAATGGAAACAGAAATATGCAGCCATATAGCAGAGCAGATGAAAGAGCCAAGCAAAGGACCCGCATGCAACATTAGCTCAGCGCCAGCGAGTACTACGATCGCATCATACACTTCGCACGAATGCCGTCCAAGAAGAAGGAACCAGTCCATCGCGAACCAGTCACAAGGGACGAGTAGAGCTGGCATCAAAAAAGAGCACGGTTAAAAATCATATCCAGCGAAACTTCAGTGCAACATACATTGTGCCCACAAGGGGACACACAAGTTGGCACTTCACAGCCAAGGTACTCTACAGAGATACTATCCAAGGGTCAAAATAACTGGGAAAAGGTCCTCAGAAGAGTACTTGTATCCAATGCAAAGAGAAACACAATTATGCTAGATCAATGGTACTTTATATTGAAGTGTCACTGTCCTGGTGCCATCAAGGTGGTGGTGGGCAATCCAGAGAGTGGCTGAGCATCTCAAGTATCGGGCATGGAGGAATTTTGCCGCTGAAAAACAAAGAGGTTCCTCACCATTCATTGTGATCGCACCAGCACATACCGTATCTATGTCCTTCAATTCGCTGATGGCGCTGTTTTGCAGAGAATCCAGGTGTGAGAGACAACGCTGCAAGTAGCGCACTGCCTCTTCATATGATGTTTCACTAAGAGAAAGAAAGAGAAGAGAGAGAGAGAGAGAGAGAGAGAGAGAGAGAGAGAGAGAGAGAGAGAGAGAGAGAGAGAGAGAGAGAGAGAGAGAGAGAGAGAGAGAGAGAGAGAGAGAGAGAGAGAGAGAGAGAGAGAGAGAGAGAGAGAGAGAGAGAGAGAGAGAGAGAGAGAGAGAGAGAGAGAGAGAGAGAGAGAGAGAGAGAGAGAGAGAGAGAGAGAGAGAGAGAGAGAGAGAGAGAGAGAGAGAGAGAGAGAGAGAGAGAGAGAGAGAGAGAGAGAGAGAGAGAGAGAGAGAGAGAGAGAGAGAGAGAGAGAGAGAGAGAGAGAAAGAGAGATAGATAGATAGATAGATAGATAGATAGATAGATCGATAGATAGACACAGAGAGAGAGAGAGTGGGTGAGTGAGTTTGGGTGCACGCATACAGGCAAGCATACAGACAAACGTGTATGTACACTAATATAAACAAACAAACACCCATACACAACTATACCTACATGCCTGTGTCCACACAGAGATGCAGAGCAGCACACACGCTTAGGATCTAGTGAGATTTCAAGCAAAGTGCTAGTAGTCAGCAATGCACACATTGGCAACAATCCACATAGCAGAACAATGGAGAGACAAGCACATCACAACAACACAAGACAAGACAAGCAAACACACACGCACTTTTTTAAAGAACACAAACCAAAAGAATTATATTTCAAACCAAACTGTACAGACCCACACAGCGGGCAAGACAAGAATCTTCTTCCAAACTATCGCAAATACTTGATGACGTGAGTCACTAGACCCTTACCCTTCTGCATCTGTCGTGGCTGCCGCACTGCTACCCACGGTCGAGCCACGTTTCTTCAGCTGACCGGGCTGAGATGGGTTAGCAAGCTGACGACAAAGCTTGGTGCAGCGACGGCAAATCTCCAGGCGAGCTTCAACTTGAACAAGCTGTGGATGCAAAACAACAAGGATAATCATTGATCAAGGCTCGTTTGCTGCTACGTCAAGTTTCATGCTCTCGCAATCATCAGTCAACATGAGGATGGGGTGCCGACCATGCCGGTATATATGCCAGGAGAGGGTGGGTCTTGTAGCGCTGTATGCTACAAGCTGTGGATACAAATAGTAGAGTACTGTTTAAATATCATCTGGCAGCCAAAGGTGAGGGAGATGTGGTAGTCCCACTGAACTATGGCTGATAGTTGCATGACTCTTGTTGTAATGTATGTTTTGTCTCTGTCATTGATGCGCTTTCAGTAATCTGCTGATACTCGTATGCTAGAAGCATCCTAGACCTACCTGCACTGTGTTCCTTCTGTACGCATTCGCCACATACTTGGCATGCCCTATCCCTAGCGCTGGGTAGTACCATGCAGTCTACCAGCGACGTAGGTCGCACGTGATACTTGTTGTAGTGCTTGTACATATGGACGGATCCTGGCGCAAGGTCGAGGAGATCAAGAGAGAGAGCCCGAGAATGGCGGCCAGATCCTGAGTGTCCTAATTTATTATCCCGAACCGTTTTCCTTGTATTTATTCTTATTGCCTGTATTGATTAATCCCATTGTTGGATTGAACCGTGTTGGCTGGTGTGAACTGAGTGACGAGTTGACTGAAACATTGGCGCAGTGAACAGGATTCTTTTCTTAGTAAGTCACTCGTTGAACTTGAAGTTTGTAGTTTCCACCACGCACGTGGGAAATGGCAGAAAAAGTAAAAGTCGGCGTCCGCCTTGACCTGGACCACGAGCTGGGAAACGACCATTTCCTTACTTGGCGTAGTCAGTTGGAGATTGGCTTTGCACTCCACGAAGTGAAGGATCAGGCGAAGCAGTATTTGGCAGCAGCTGCCAATTTAGGCGAGTCAGCAAGTCACTACTTATGGCAGAGCTACCCGACAGTGCCAACTACGGCAACTAATCCCTACAACGATCTTATCAAATTGTTCCAAGAATATTTCGGCTCGAAACAGAGCGCAGCGTCCCGGTTGGCGGAATTGTTTGCAGTCGAGCAACGTCCTGGGGAGACTGTACAGGCCTTTCGGCTGCGGGTGCAAAAAGACATGAGGGTTTGCAACCTGACCAGCACTCGTACTGCCGAGGAACTACTGGGAGTTGTGGGAGTCCACCTGTTTGCACGGGGGCTCAGCTCTGCCAGTGCCCGAAAGAGTGTCTTGGAGCACGATGCGCAGGACTTGAGCTCCGCCGCAGCCAAGGCGCAGGCAGTGGTATTAGCTGAAGAGGGTGCCAAAGAAGCACCAGTGCCAGAGGTCAGCTATGCAGCTACGCGTCAACCTGGACATGCACCATTGCCAGCATCAGGCTGTGGGTATTGTGGAGAGACGCACGCTCCAGGCAAGCCGAACTGCCCAGCAGCGCGTATGTTCTGTGCCCAGTGTGGGCGTAAGGGACATTTTGCATCGGTGTGCCGTGCCGGATCTGGTCGAGTGGACCGCAGTGCCCAGACCCAGTCGCAGAGCACGTCATCCAGGCAACACAACCGATCAGCACCAGCCGTTTCGTCACTCCGAACTGGTGCAGCATCACCAGCCGTACAGTCCGCCCAGCCACCAGAGGCCTATGAGACATTCGGGGTACAGGCAGGGAAGACCGGTTTCACTCTACCTCTGAGGCAGGTAACATTGGACTGCCGACACACCTTGTCGCTAAGAGTGGACTCTGCCAGCATGGTTTCCATCATCCCTAAGTCATTACTCCCATCGGGGTACGTCCTGTTACCGCCGCCATGCCCACTCCAGCCAGTGGGGACGCAACGCATAACAGCTGTGGGCGTGTTTGAGGGTAACCTGAGCTATCAGGGCCGCGAAACGACTGAGACTATCTTTGTAGTCGATGACGCACAATGCACTGTGCCAGCATTACTGGGAGAGCAGGCCTCCATCCGTTTAGGTCTTCTGGCATTGCCGATTTCAGCAGTTGAAATCCCAGCCTGTGCCGAGGGCCTAGCGTCACTCCCTGCTATGCGCGGCTCGATTACAATCGCTCTCGATCCGGATCACCCTCCGTCACAACAGTCATCTCGACGGGTAGCACCGGCACTGCTCACCTCGCTACGCCAACAACTAGATGCATGGCTAGAACAAGGAGTGGTCGAGATGGTGGAGGAAGTAACGGCTCAGGACTTTGTTTCGCCACTGGTAGCCACACCGAAACCCGACAAAACTATGCGCTGGTGCGTAGATTTACGACAAGTCAACGCAGCGGTAAGGCGACCGGGTGTGCAACTCCCAACAGCTGATGAGCTTCTATCTCAACTGTCAGGCGCACAGATGTTCTCGAAGCTTGACCTGAAGTCCGGGTATTCTCAGCTCGAGATCTCACCTGAATGTCGCCACGCCTTCGTGGTCGCCTCACCCTTGGGGTACTTCCGTTTCTGTCGTCTACCGTTCGGCGTGTCCAGCGGCCCTGAATTATTTCAACGTAAGATGGAGCAAATTCTGGCAGGATGTGAAGGGGTAGTCATCTACCTAGACGACATTCTGATTTATGCTCCATCATTGGAAGAGCATGATCGACGCAAGGCAGCAGTCCTGACGGCTCTCAAGGAGTACAATGTCACCCTGAATGACAAGAAGTGCGTCTTCCAGGTCTCAGAGCTGGAGTTTCTGGGATATCACGTCTCGGCGAAGGGCATTTCGCCAGGTCCATCGAAGGTTGAGTCACTCAGTCAGATGTCGGATCCCACCAATGTGGCCGAACTCCGAGCATTTCTGGGCTTAGCAACCTACGTGGCAAAGTTTATTCCTAACATTGCCTCGGTTGTCGCTCCGATGACAGCACTATTGTCTGGCGAGTGGAATTGGACATCGGCTTGCCACACCGCAGCTGAGAAGATACGCAGTCTGATTACTAGTGCACCTATTCTGGCGCTATTTGACCCAACGCTGCCGACCCGCATCGAAGTTGACGCGTCTGGCCATGGCCTTGGAGCAGTACTCCTACAGCAGTCGCAAACAGATGGTCAAGAGTGGCGACCTGTCTATTACGCAGGCAGAAAGTTGTCAGATGCAGAGTCACGCTATGCAACCATCGAGCGAGAGGCACTGGCGGTCGCGTGGGGCTCTAATCGTTTCCGCAGCTTCATCACCGGCATGCCTGTGACCATTATCACTGACCACAAGCCACTGGTTCACGTATTTATGCCGTCGTACAAGCTAGCCTCAGCTAGTCTCCGAGTACAGCGCCTGGTGTTGAAAGTGCAAGACTTGACCCTAACCGTGCAATATCGCCCCGGCAAGTTGAATCACATTGCTGACGCATTGTCCAGGCTGCCGGCTGAAGATGCTGACCCGAGTTTCCTTCTCGTCCATGCTGTCACCGTGGCAGACGGTGTTTCAGCACATCGCCAGTTGATTGCCAGAGAAACAGCGCGTGACTCCACTCTGTGCTCAGTGCGAGATGCGCTGCAATCGGGTAAATGGCCGTCGGCGACAGAGCTCGCCCCGTACCAAGCCCTTAGTCCGGAACTCAGCGTGTGGCCCTTTCCGAACTCATCGGACTTTCTCATTCTGAGAGGGGAAAGAGTGGTGATTCCAGCATCGGCAGCTCAACACGTACTGAACCTGGCTCACGAGGGACACCTTGGTCGAGACAGGACACTGGCTCAACTCAAGGAGACTGTGTGGTGGCCCGGTTGGAACACGGCAACTCGACATTTCCTAGCCAGCTGTACACCATGTTCGACAGAAGCAGCTATACGACCAGTACCGCTGAAACCACGCGACCTACCTCCACATGCCTGGCACACTGTCGCTATTGATGTGTTTTATTACCAGCAAAGCGCCTTCTTCAGCCTTCTGGACTTGTACAGTCGGTATCCAGCAGTTGTCCGCTTACCAGCTGAGAAGACCAGGGACATCATCAAGGCGCTGGAGCAGATCTTCACGCTGTTCGGCATGCCACGGCACGTCATCTCCGACAACGGTGCACAGTTCTGCAGCGACGAGTTCCGCAACCAGCTTGAATCGTGGGGCATCAGCCACGAACGCACTGTGCCTTACACACCACGTCAGAACCCTGTTGAGCGTCTCCACCGGACATTGAAGCAACATATGCGGAAATCCGGCATGCCACGAGCAGACGACGCTCTTCGTGTGGCGCTCAAAGCTGTTCGATCAGCTATCAACACCACTACCGGCAAACCGCCGGGAGATCTCCTACTACGAGGAGGTTATCGTACTCCACTCAGGCAGCTTCAGCCAGTAGATAACATGGCTACTGCCGAAGATGACGGCGAGATAGACGAGGAAGTGCGTGAACGCGATGCTCAGCACAAGGCAGCATCCAAGGTGACTTTCGACGCAGCTCACCAAGCAAAATCCCGCACTTTGGTGCCTGGACAAGCAGTGTTTGTCAAGCAACCCTCTGGCTCAACTGAGAAAGCTACCATCGTCACAGCAACACCACATGATGCAGTCATTACGACCGAAGAGGGAGTGACTTTCCGCCGTCATCTTGACCGTCTGCAAGTGGATCCGACGGAGGTAGTAGCAACAGCTACTCCGCTAGATTCCACAGTTCCATCAGCTCCCGGCAGTCCAACGGCCGCAACACCTAGTACTGTTCCGCCAGCTGCTGGCCGTCCGCAGCGTACGACTCGAAAGCCAAGTCGTTATCAGTAGACCGCTGGTCTTTTCTAAGAAGGGAGGAAATGTGGTAGTCCCACTGAACTATGGCTGATAGTTGCATGACTCTTGTTGTAATGTATGTTTTGTCTCTGTCATTGATGCGCTTTCAGTAATCTGCTGATACTCGTATGCTAGAAGCATCCTAGACCTACCTGCACTGTGTTCCTTCTGTACGCATTCGCCACATACTTGGCATGCCCTATCCCTAGCGCTGGGTAGTACCATGCAGTCTACCAGCGACGTAGGTCGCACGTGATACTTGTTGTAGTGCTTGTACATATGGACGGATCCTGGCGCAAGGTCGAGGAGATCAAGAGAGAGAGCCCGAGAATGGCGGCCAGATCCTGAGTGTCCTAATTTATTATCCCGAACCGTTTTCCTTGTATTTATTCTTATTGCCTGTATTGATTAATCCCATTGTTGGATTGAACCGTGTTGGCTGGTGTGAACTGAGTGACGAGTTGACTGAAACAGGAGACACCCCCCCCCCCCCTCCCCCCCTCCCCCCCTCCCCCCCCAACACCCACACGCTCGCGTTCGATTATGCACGCGAATCGATTCCTGAATCGATTCGCGCTATTCACATCGCCCCATGTGAATAGGGTGAATGGATTCCGAATCGATTCCAGGGCTCATGACATGAAAATCGAACGACTTGAATGCATGCGAGTGGATTCATGAATCGATTTAAGTGCATAATCGAACGCAGCTATTGTTCAGGCAATGATCTGCATCTATCTCTCATAGATGATAGCACGTAAATACACACGTGCCTGCGCGCACCCACCTGCACTGCATGCACCCACCCACCTGCACTGCATGCACCCACCCACCTGCACTGCATGCACCCACCTGCACTGCATGCACCCACCCACCTGCACTGCATGCACCCACCCACCTGCACACCACACACACACACCCCTTGATCATGCCCATTGCGTAGCAATGACAGCGTATTGTTATTTCCCAAGACACGCGCATGCATGCACGCACGGCCGCACACATGCACCCATGCGCACATACGTGAACACTTTCACACACACGCACATACACGCACCCCCCCCCCCCCCCCCACACACACACATTTTGGATACCTCATAAGCCTGCTGCGAGTACATCATAGACTGGCAGAACTGCAGGAGGTCGGCCGCCGACAGTTTAGAAACGTACTCTTGAGCGGCTTCATACCGATGCACCCAGTCCATCTGTTGGCAAACAAGACGGTGACAACAGGAACAAACATAAACCACTCAAGCCTCTTTGCGACCAACACCAAGTGACCAATGGTATTTGTTCTCAATAACAGGAGTTCTTCTTGTCCATATTGAATGCCCAGTGAATGCACAGTGATTGATCCAATAAAGTTATGATTAATTTATAAGAAGAAAAGAGCTGAAAGTAAAGTGGTACAGTGACACCGGAGATGTGAATTCTGTTCAGTTACAAGTCCATACGCTTATATGTGAGGGGTGCGCTTATATCCGGATAGAGGCCCGTGTGCTTATACACACGCGCGTGAATACGATATTCACCACTGCACACACACACACACACCTATTCTCTACTGCGTCACGCTTACACTGCTCTCGGCCGTCTTCTTCTTGCCCTCGCCGTCCCAGAAGAGTTTGATGCAGAAGGCAGCGAACACACGGCTGGCAGAGAGGAACCCATCCTAATGCATCATGTACACACATTGTATAGAACAGTGCACGCTGGTGTTAACACTATGGAGTACATGTAGATATAGAACAGTGCACGCTGGTGTTAACACTATGGAGTACATGTAGATATAGAACAGTGCACGCTGGTGTTAACACTATGGAGTACATGTAGATATAGAACAGTGCACGCTGGTGTTAACACTATGGAGTACATGTAGATATAGAACAGTGCACGCTGGTGTTAACACTATGGAGTACATGTAGATACTGTAACTCTAACAAATTTTCGGCCCATTCAAATTTCTGCCTCCCGGGGCTAAAACCCATTTCGGCCGCATCGAATTTTCGGCCTGTACTGCTGCCGCCTGTATACACTGTCACGCTGAACATTGTAAAACAAAATTTCGGCCGCAACAAATTTTCGGCCAAACCTGACCGGGCCGAAAATAAATATGCGTTGAATATTAATTTTGTTGACTCACAGTACACAGCTACCGGGAACACAGGGACGAGAAACCAGACTAGCACAATAAAATAACCACCTGCGTTCAGAGACCACTTATTTTTAGAGACCACACCTATCCCTTGACCATACAGTGGAACAGCCATGTTGGTTTCACCTCTACTCAACTCCTGCATGTATGGGTAACATGATGTCGGCCATGTTGGCTCCACTGCCCACATGACATGATCACTTTCTGCACAAATTTAGTCACATGACATGATCACTTTCTGCACAAATTTAGTCACATGACATGATCACTTTCTGCACAAATTTAGTCACATGACATGATCACTTTCTGCACAAATTTAGTCACATGACATGATCACTTTCTGCACAAATTTAGTCACATGACATGATCACTTTCTGCACAAATTTAGTCACATGACATGATCACTTTCTGCACAAATTTAGTCACATGACATGATCACTTTCTGCACAAATTTAGTCACATGACATGATCACTTTCTGCACAAATTTAGTCACATGACCAACTGATGTGAACATCACACTCTATACGCGTGTACAGCTGTGTGTGTGTAGCCATCACTTGACATTGGCAAACACAGCATAGATATCTTGCAAAAGAAGGATCCACGAGCAGGATTCGAACCCAGCACCCCTGTATTTCCGGAACAGTGCCCGATCGATTAGTCCACCTGGATCACATACACGCACACACACGCACGCACACACACGCACACGCACACACACGCACACACACGCGCACACACACACACACACACACACACACACACACACACACACACACGGCTCCATCTTGCCACAGTCAGAAGAGTGGTGCGACTTAGCCAACTCACCGCCACAGGCAACTTTGCCACCATCTTGGCAATGACGTGAACGTTGGATGCCATGACAACAGGGCGAATGGCATCCAGCGGTGACGACCCATACACTAACTGCTTGTAATCCAGCCCTGCAAACATATGCACACAGAACCACAAGCATCTCTTACATCCTCCGGTGGTGGTGGGTATTGAATGTGCAACAAACAGACACGGTACTGGCAGAAAAATAAACCACAGCGAAACAAAATTCCCAAAGTGGCATCAATTGGTCATGGTGAGCCGATTAGGCCCGAGGTGAGACAACGGGCTATTGGCCAGTACCCTGGCTACTGTCACATACATGCTACAAATTGCATTCAGTTACTAGCAATGGCAAGCAATGTGGCATGGTAGGCCTTGAGCAAAACGCACTTCAGTAACCCCACCATGTTTCGATACCCAGAAAGTAGTAAAGAGAACTTTGTCGATGCCATGCAAAAGTAGAACGATGGTCAAGCCAGGTCTGCTGCAAGTGTTGCTATGCAAGCATGCACAAACTCTGCACAAAGCGCTATGCATGCATGCTTGCACAGGCATTGCACAAAGTGCTATGCATGCATGCACAGGCTTTGCTCAGAGTGCTATGCTGCATGAACAGACTCTGTACAAATGTAGCGGATTCTCGGTCACATGACCTGATTTACTTCGGTTTCAATGAAATTCTCATAATTATTGGCTTCATGAAATTCTCCGGTCTCGCGGTCACACTTATATGTATTACGACCGCTTTACCGTATCAGCATGCGCCATTCACTTCCGCACCGTATTATCCTTTTTTGCATGCGTACTACAGCTGTGTACAACTAGATTCCAGTGCGCCGCTGGCCTTCCCTTTTGGTATAGTTGTACCGTACACCGTATTCAGCAGGTGAGCAGAATTCGCCGCTCCTTGCCTTTTGCCTTGCTTCCATTCTCTCTCTCTCGTGAGCCGAACAATTATGTTTTCTGTCCTCTCTGTAATCTACAAAGTAACATTAGTTATGACACCAGATTCAATCGTTCGAAGTTAGTTCTAAATTCACGAATCCAGACTTTTGTATAGAATTACGTAGCGCACTGCTACAATTGGTGACCCCGTCTAGTGTTCGATCACTCGCGATCGCTCAGTGGTCTGCACGCAGCATTGAATTTTAGTATTTTACGAGCACTAGTACAGTATGAATACCTCAAACTCCGGAGCTAGCACACCTATCCGCAGCGTAGGTCGTGGCCAACTGCTGTCCAGAATCACGGGCGCTGGAGCTTCCGCAGCAGGCGGTACAGCCCGCGACAGTGAGGTGGCCGCGGTCAGCTTGAACGTCAAGCTACCACCTTACTGGGCTGCTGACCCCCAGGTTTGGTTCGCACAGGTTGAATCCCTGTTTTCCACCCGTCGCATCACCAGCCAGGTGACCAAATATCAGTACGTGGTGGGATCACTGACACCAGAGTATGCGGCAGAGGTGCGTGACATCATCCTGGATCCTCCTGCTCAACAGCCGTACGACGCTCTCCGCGAGCGTCTCATTCACCGCACGCAGATGTCAGAACAGCAACGTTTGCGCCTGCTGCTTTCGGACGAGGAGCTGGGCGACAAGAAACCTACGCAGCTATTACGCAAGCTACAGCAGTTAGGGAGCATCTCATAAGTTCGCACTTTTTTTGTAAACGTAACGCATTTCGAATAGACTTTACCCCCCTACCTCCCCCCTCTATTTGAAAGTCTTATCGCACATTTTCCGTGTGGATCTAATACATGTACATGTATAATTATGTACTGTGCATGTCCATGCCATGCATGTCCATGCACATGTATGCACATGAATGTCAAAGTGAATGGCATACAGTACTGCATCTAAGTACTGAGTACAAGAAATGACATGTACACGCACATAAACAGAGTTCCCCCACAACCACTGTGTACTGTAAAAGCTGGCCAGGTACACAGTTTGATGATGCTGATGTGACACTTGACACCTCTGAGTAGCCTGTATGCATGCAGTGCAAGGCTGATCTCCAAACACAGGCACATACTGTGACATAGCTCTACACCTAAACACGCTCATTTTGCTGAAGCGATCTAGCACATGCACTGCATGCACAGTATCAAGAGTACATAACCCCCCAGAGTGTGCAACTCCCACATACCCTGTTGTCCCGACAGAATTTCAAGTTGACGTCATTATTTATGACGCAATGCTCCTTGCACCAGTGATTTACAACATGTGTACGGGTGTCAACGCATCACACGTTTTTCTTTGCAATAATTTGTACAGGATCGATCAGCTTCGGTCAACCACAGGTTCCGGATTCGTCTGATAATCCGTGTACAGTGCGCATTGCATCATCAAAATGACGTCAACTTGAAATTCTGTCGGGACAGCACCCATAGTGGAGTTGCACACTCTGGGGGGTTATGTACTCTTGACAGTATGTACACATCCAGGAAATGTGCGAACTGTCATTTTTCTATTCGAAAAGGGCGTTACCCCCCTACCCCCGTTTCGAAATGCGTTACGTTTAGAAAAAAAATGCGAACTTATGAGATGCTCCCTTAGTAGGTGAGAACGCCATGCCCGAAAAACTTTTGCGAGAGCTGTTTGTCAGCCGGTTGCCTCGATCGGCCAAGTCAATAGTAGCATCCTGCCCTGCATCACTGCCGCTGCAGGATCTGGCAGAAATGGCTGACAGAATAGTGGAGGCAGCTGGTCCCAGTGCGGCAGTACATGCAGTTCGCAACACTGGCGAGTCAGAGACAATGGCTGCCATTGCAGCTCTCCGGGACCAAGTTGCCGCCCTGACGACTACTGTAACCGAGCTGAAACAGCAGCACGGCCGCCCTCGCTTCCGCGGCCAACCCCGCAGTCGCTCGGTCTCACCGCATAGCAGTGGTTCATGCCATTTTCACCGCAAGTTTGGTGTGCAAGCCCGGTGGTGTGAAGCCCCGTGCTCCTGGTCGTCGGGAAATGCCCCGGCCAGCCAGTAGCGGCTCCTGTGTCTGGCCCACCTACCTCCCGCCGCCTCTATGTCCGTGACGTCACCAGCGGAACCCGTTTCCTAGTGGATACCGGTGCTGACGTCAGCCTGCTGCCAGCCACTTCTGAACACCGCCGCCACGTCGATCCGACTGGTCAGTGTCAGCTCCGTGCTGCTAATGGCTCTGCTATTCCGGCTTTCGGGCAGAGGTGTTTGACCCTTGACCTTGGTCTTAGACGAACATTCCCTTGGATATTTGTCGTTGCTGACGTGAAGGAGCCGATCCTGGGGGCTGATTTCCTCCATCGGTTCAGTCTCCAAGTCGACCTTCATGGACGCACCATCCGTGACAACTCCACTGACCTCCAGGTCAATTGCATTCCTGCCGCAACCGCATCGCTCAGCTGCTCCTTGGTTTCCGCCCCGGTGGCCACAGCACCAGCATTCACCGACCTGCTTGCCGAGTTCTCAAGCCTCACCAAACCATGCTGTTATGACCTGCCGGTCAAGCACTCGGTGGAGCACCATATTGTGACTACCGGCCCGGCACTGCATGCCCGCACTCGTCGGCTGGCTCCAAACCGCCTGGCAACGGCCAGAGCTGAGTTCCAGCATATGCTGTCCCTGGGCATCATTCGGCCATCCTCCTCGCCCTGGTCCAGCCCTCTCCACATGGTTCCTAAACCCAATGGAGACTGGAGGCCATGTGGAGACTACCGACTCCTGAATAAAGTCACCGAACCGGATCGGTATCCGATTCCTCATATTCAGGATTTCACCAGCAGTCTCCATGGTGCTACAGTGTTTTCGAAACTGGATCTGGTCAGAGCGTATCACCAGATACCAGTAACCCCGGCCGACATTCCCAAGACTGCCATCACGACTCCGTTCGGGTTATTTGAGTTCATCAGGATGCCCTTCGGTCTCCGGAACGCGGCACAGTCATTCCAGCGGTTTATCGATTCAGTATTGCATGGCCTGGATTTCTGCTACGTCTACCTCGATGACCTCCTAATCGCCAGCTCCGACCACGCTACGAACCTGCAACATCTGCGCCTGGTGTTTGAGCGCCTGCAGCAGCATGGTTTGGTGATCAACCCCGCTAAGTGCGTTTTCGGCCAGCCGTCCCTGACGTTTCTGGGCCATCTGGTTAACGCCCAGGGCATCAGCCCGCTACCGGCAAGAGTCGACGGCGTGGCTCAGTACTCCCTTCCAACATCTCGCCGCCAGCTTCGCGAGTTTCTGGGCATGGTCAACTTTTACCGGCGCTTTATTCCCCAGGCATCCGACATCCTCCAACCACTGACGGATCTGCTTGGTGGACCTCAGCGTCCGAAGAACTGTCCCCTGAAACTTGGCACTGCCGCTGTCACGGCATTCCATGCTGCCAAGGACGCGCTTGCTGCAGCAACGCTGCTCATCCACCCCATCCCGGATGCACCCCTCCAGCTCGTTGTGGATGCATCAGATGTCGGAGTGGGCGGGGCCCTTCAACAGCTTGTTGATGGGGCATGGCAGCCGCTCGCTTTCTTTTCCAAACGAATGCAACCAGCTCAGAGCCGCTACAGTACGTTCGGTCGAGAATTGCTAGCTGCGTACCTGGCAGTAAAGCATTTCCGGCATCACCTGGAAGGCCGCTGCTTCCACATTCTGACGGACCATCGCCCGTTAGTGTTCGCCATGCAAGCTGCTGGTACTAGCCACTCACCTCGTGAGCTCCGGCACCTGTCCTACGTGGCTGAATTCACGACGGATCTCCGCTTCCTGCGTGGGGCTGACAATGTTGTTGCTGACGCTCTGTCTCGCGCCACTGTTGATGCAGTAACCGCGCCGCCGGCCGCGGTGGACTTTCAGGCTCTGGCAGCCGCCCAGCAGTCTGATCCCGAGCTACTCTCCGCTCAGCAAGACACGCAGTCGTCTCTGAAGCTTCAGCCAATCCCGTACGGTTCCGCTACCCAGCCTGTGGTGTGCGACATGTCGACCGGCACTGCCCGCCCGTTTGTACCGTTGTCCTTTCGCAAGACCGTCTTCAACAGCCTGCACTCCCTTGCACATCCGGGTATTCGTGCCACTCAGCGTATGGTTTCGGCACGCTACGTCTGGCCCGGCATGCAAAAGGACGTCCGGGAATGGACCCGCTGCTGCCCCTTCTGTCAGCTGAGCAAAGTGACCCGCCACACCCAGGCTCCGCTTGGCCAGTTTCTGCCACCCGATGAGCGCTTTGACCACATCCACATTGATTTGGTCGGCCCTTTGCCTCCCTCCGGTGGTTGCACCTATCTGCTGACCTGCGTGGATCGCTTTACCCGCTGGCCAGAGGCCATTCCGATCAAGGACGCCGCCGCGGAAACAGTTGCCACCGCTTTCATCGCTGGGTGGATTGCCCGCTTCGGCGTCCCATCTGTTGTCACCACAGATCGTGGCGCCCAGTTTGAGTCCGCGCTTTTCCGCCACTTGTTGGCCCTGCTAGGCACCTGCCGGACTCGGACAACTTCCTACCGTCCACAATGCAATGGCCTCGTCGAGCGTTTCCACCGCCACCTAAAGGCTGCTCTGAAGTGCCACCCTCATCCTGGTGCCTGGAATGCGATGATGCCCCTGGTGTTGCTGGGCATTCGCGCTAGCCTGCGCGAGGAGTTCCAGTGCAGTTCCGCAGAGCTGGTCTATGGCACCACTCTCCGCTTGCCATCTGAGTTCTTCCAGCCACCGCCGTCTATGCCACCGGTGCCCGTTTACGTTCAGTTCCTCCGGGATGTATTGCAAAACATCCGGCCCTCAGACGTCGGCCCTCGCCAGTCCAACCGCCCAGTATACGTGCCTAAGGATCTGTCAACGTGCGACTTCGTGTACATCCGTACCGACAGTGTCCGCAAGCCGCTCCAACCACCGTACACTGGTCCGTTCCGGGTCCTCAAGCGTGCTGACAAGCATTTCACGGTCGACGTCAAGGGCAAGTCCGACCAGGTAAGCATTGACCGCTTGAAGCCCGCATATGCTCTGCCTGTTACAGCCGCTGCTGCTTCTGATCTTTCTCTGATTGTCCCGCCGGTTGCTGCTGCTGCCCCACCCCCTGCACGTGCTGTTCGCTTTGCTACCTGATCAGCTGGGCTCCTCCGTTCTTTGTCGCCGTTGGCCGTTTATGTCGGACCTTTTTCCGGTTACCGTG